CTTGTACAAAAGTTCAGAAGATCCGAAAAACCAGTCAATGCCTATTCCCTAGGTCGATGCTACTTTGCCCCACAAGAAGGTCCCAGTGCGTATAGTTCACTATGAACATAGGACTTCGTTCCTCGTTGGCGCGAAAGACAATCGTCTCAACCAGCACCAGTACCATCAGTTGAGTTTGAGACCGGGCCATCGAAGTGTACTTTGAACGCTACAAATTGAAAGTCAGCAAGGTTACTACTAATTGAATCCTTCCGCAACGTACTCATCGGGAAAGCATAAAAGCCCGTTTCGTCCTCCAACATATAGCTGTAGAATTTGTTCGGGCGGGGGATTTTCTTCAACTGGCCTTGGGGTCCAGGGGCCCGGCGGAGATTTTCCAGCCGTCCCACCACGCGAAGCATGGCGGTTAAAGCAACCTTGCTGGCCTCTTTGCCCAGACAGGTGTGGGGGCCTACACCATAATGAATATAGGACTCCATAGGGCGATCGAGACGGACGCTATCTGGATCTGGGAAAGCATCCGGGTCCCGATTGGCATCCACCTGAAATTAGTCAGTATGCACCAGAGTTGTGCGAGTATGAGGAGAGCTCACAAAACTAACAAACACCTTCTCCCCCGGTTTGATATTCAAGCGGCGGCCTTGATCCTTCAAAGTGACGTTGGTCTTCGCTTCACGATACGAGCCAAATATTCCATGAAGACGGATCGCCTCCATGCAGTACCGCAGGAGCTTGTCATCTGATTCAAGGGAGTCTTCCTTGGCAATGCGGTTAATAGGGACAAGGTGCTTTTTGCCTTCGTCGGAAAGATAGTAGTCGATGATCTGCGTGAAGACCTGAGCTTGATTGGGCACCATGGCGACCGCTGTAGGCAGTATCTGGGAAAAGGTAATCTCGGATGGACCCAGCCCAGTTTCCAGTAGGCGCTGGATCATATGTATGCCATACTCCCCAAGCGGATAGGAATTGGTGCTGAAGCTGTCAAAGAAGTATGAGAGCATCCTAGACGACTGCGTATTCTTCACAATCGCCTCGACAATTTTACCAAGCTTTTGGGCAGCAGCTCGTGCCTTGTGACGCAGGCCAAACGACTTGGCTGGATCAACGTCAAAGAAAATTGCTGTGAAGATGACAGCCATAATTTGGTACATCTCGTGTTCGGTGAAGATTCCATCGGGATGCTTTTCTGTTTTGAGTGGGAGCGAGAAGATATTTGAAGCAAAGTGGACGTGTGCCAGATTTCCGACACTATGTACTGGTTAGGAAACCGTAAGTCCTTAGGGGAACGGATACTCACTCGCGCGTGATATCAACCTGATTTGCCCGTCCCAGTCGGCAAGACTTGTCCTTCAAGAGCCGCTCCGTGGTCGCAATGTAGAACTCTTTGACGTGCTTATGCCACTGGCCAACGTATAGCGACTTGCACATATTCTGTCGCTGACCAGCATGGAAGAAAGTATCGCCGGAAAGCATAAAATCGTAACCTGCATCGCCGAAGATGTAGCCAGTCGCCTCGCCCCAGGTGGAATGGAAAGCCTCCTGATCACTGAGAATGTGACGAACGTTGGAGTACTCAAAGATAGTCGTCCGGGACGGTGTGAAAGCAGGGCGATCCCAGGAGTAATCATGCTCCCGCCCTAGACTTTCCATGATAACTTGATTCTCGGCAGGGATAGTCATAGGGTAGTGGGCATATATCGAATCGGATTTGAACCAATTTGGGAATGCACGTAAGGCTAGCTTGTAAAACACACAGCCTTGGTTAATATCCAGATCGTAGTGAGATTCGGTAAATCCCCAGTTGGTCAGGTTCCTAGCATTGTAATCAACCTAGGGACAATCAGCTTCGCTCCTTCCAAGTGGTGCCAGAATATAATACGGTGTAAAACCTATCTCCTCGAACCAAGGCGACCGCGTCCGATAATACGGCGCGTGAAACAGTGTATCCTGGCGCAATTCCCACCCCGGGGACCATAGGCTCCTTAGCCTCTTCCGCCACGATGCCAGGATATAGCTCCACATAGTCGGGCTTTTCGTACAGGTGCCGAAGGCAATCTGCAACCTCCGGGTCGGAATTGATTTCCTCGAAGCTTCGATACGGCTTCAAGTCAAAGAATTTGCGGAATTCGTTGAGGGATCCGACATTCCATCGTCGTGCCTGTTCTATGCCGAGAATCTCTACCGCGCGCAACACCTTAGGCACATTGCGCGCCCCGAATGATCCGGACACACTCTCGATCGCATCTGTCAAAATCATCACCAACTCCTCGTCCTTGAATTTCCCATCTGCCTGACGTTCTAGCTGGGCGAATGTCCGTTTGGAAGGGTCAGGATTTAGGTTTTTTCCGTACTCGCCCAGGGCACTAAGAAGTTCATCCACAGATGCCTCATCCCCGGGCTTCCCAACCAACTTCTCATATGCCCCTTCTGTCCAGTGCTCATCCTCCTGGCTGATAGTACTGTGCCAGCGGTATGCTAGGTTAAATTCCACGGAGCATTGGTTCCCGAGTCCAGAGGGGGTCACCTCAGTCTCGCCCATTCGAACACGGGGATCCAAGCACCAGGTACTGTTAGTGCGGTTCAAGTTAACAATAGTACGGAGGTAGTCGTAGAGGGTGATGTTGATATAGAGGCCGCAGGTAATGAGCCTCCCGGTTTGGAACAGATCGTTGTCGTACTTGGCCCTCGCTTTCTTGGCCTCTGCCGCCGATAGCTGATCGTCTTGTGGCTTCGTAAATCGACCGCTTTCGTTTATATGCGCGAGCTGGTCCACGACATCATTGTGGAACCGGTTCAGCATAACTAGAATCACGCCACATGCCGCTGGTAGCGCCTGTAATCGGGGCTCCGAAAAGCAGTCCGGTTTCAACTTGCCGTCGTTGAACGTTCGGACCTTATTCTGCTCTTCTTCAATGTCTCCATACAGAATGGATAAATCCAGGTAGGAGGAAGTGTTGTTGATATTTTCATCTTTGCGGTCTGTTTGGAATATGTCTGTCTGGGGTTATCATTTGTTGGGGTCTGCTTGATGAACTGTTCTTACCATGGATAACCAGCGAAGCCCAGGTGAAGAAGATGCTCGAGACCTTGTTCGGATGAGGCGTGAATTTCTCTCGAGCGAACAAGCTATCGAATATCAGTCCCGGGTCCGGGAGATTGGGCAGGCGAATCGTCTCAGGGCGGATAGTGCGGGCATATTCCGTCCGCGCTGCTCCTAGCAAGGGAAGCGTAGGATTATTATGAGCGCCATTTGCACTCCGGTATGCGTACTTCTCTCCAACATATCTGCACTTCTTCAGTCCAAGGCACATACCAATGGCGGCCACATCGTCAGGATAGTCAGAATACTTACGCCAGTGGGGGTGAGGGAGAGAGTCCCAGAGTTCGTTGAGAAATACGTTTGTGAGCTTTGTCCGGCTTTTGGACCCATCTGGGAGTCTGCTAACCAGCTGCAAGAAAGAAAGTCAGCAGGTCAGTATTGGCTCTGTAGGACTGCACATAAAACTCGCCTGGATAACACGCTCCATGAGCATCGTCTTGTCATCTATGTGCTGGCCAGTCACTTTGTTCTCGAGGAAAGACGCGAGAGTGCTTGCATCCTTGATTCCAAGACTGCGTAGGTCCTTCCAAAGGCCACTGCTGGGCTCATCCTCGATGTAGCTTCCGTCGCCGGTCTCTGTGGGGAGAGGACGGCGAGCGGCGTGAATGACTTCTCTAGCTTCCTTGAATTTGGACGATGACTTTGCAGCTAGTTCACTTTTCATCCTTTCTGGGTGCTCTACTCTCGGGGTATCCCTCTGCTCTCTAGTTTCGGATAGATGTGAGGAACTCGCCTCGCTGTTTGTGTTGGGGTCCAGTTTCATCTTGGCAGGTGTGTCTGTGACTAGATTGCTGAGACTGTGTCGCGAATAACGTTATTCTGGTGACACGTTTGCTGAAGCATGTTCGATCGAAGCAATAAGATTTGGGTTAAATCACTAGGCTTTATTTCATTTTTAGCTCTGCAAACCGCCTCGGCCCCAGAGGGCCCAGCCGTTCTGTGTTGCATCGACCACAACCGCTATATTGCCTGTAGGGTGTCAAATTGACATCACTTGATAATCCCTATACGCATGCAGAGTACTTACATGCTGGTTGACAGGCAAAACATGGAACGCGGTCCTTCTAAGTTTATTGAGTGGAGACAGAACAGTCGGGCAACCTTATTTCAACCTTAATTTGTACCGCGCGGAAGCCCCGGTAACCTTCGAGGGATCCGAGCTAACACTACCTAACGTATTTTATATGCGAGTGACTCAGTCAGATACACATAGTAAATAGGATAAATTACAACTTGATATCTCGACAACGGTGGTCTATACGGGTGTTTCCTTGGGAGCTGATGGATTTTTCGTGACATCTAGCCTCACTAGAGTTTAGAGAATCTTTATAACTTGGTGCTGAGGATATATAAATTCTTGGCTTAGAGCGATGTAATTTTCGATATCATGATATTGCAACTTTCTGATCTCCTTGAAGTTGATATATATCGTTAGAAAGTCTTATCAACAGCTATCGAGTGAATCTGAAATCAAATAAAGACGTTATTGTTGAGATAAAAGTTTATTACATTACCTATGTGTATCTAACTGTGCCAATCGCTTGTGTGCACAACTCGCATGTGAAATACGTTACCTTATTATGGGTACGTAGTTACTTCATTCCTCACACCGAGCATGGCTGGGCCTAACCTTGTCAGTCCGTCGGACCATCAAACCGTGGCGCACATCCACTGGTGAGCTCAGTTGACGTCAAAGAGTTCATGCACAGAGTGTATTCCATGCCATCTCAGAGAGTCTGTCCACCTAAGTTTCTGTGTCTAGCTAACCCTTACAAGAAACATTAGTGGATCTATTTCACTCCTGGGATCTGACATGCGCGACGAGGTCTGACCTTTCCCCCTGCATCCCACGATCAAACAGATTTCCATAAATAAAAAAAGCAGAATCAAAACAACCCATATGGCGCAATCCGAGGCTAGAAAGACCCCCAAACAGTTTATACTCTGCTTTGATGGCACGGGGAACAAATTCCAAGGCAATGAATCGGACAGCAACGTGTTAAAGATCTTTCGGGTAAGTGATCAACGACCCTGTGGGTATTTGCTGTAACACTCATCGCGTCAAGATGCTGGACCGAAGCGATTGCAAGCAGTTCCATTACTACCAACCCGGCATTGGGACCTATGTGAGCTCGCAGTCGCTCTCGAGCAAGGGCCGGCTGGAGAAGATAAAATCGGCCTATCTCAAAGTCAAAGATGCCGCCGTTGGTTCGACTTTTGCCGACCATGTCATGGGCGGCTACAAGTTTCTTATGCGATATTACTCTGCGGGAGATGAGTTGTACTTTTTTGGCTTCAGCCGAGGCGCCTACGTCGCACGCTTTCTGGCTGAGATGCTAGACTCTGTGGGCCTAGTGGAAATGGGGAATGAGGAGCTGGTGCGATTTGCGTGGAAGACATTCGCCAAGTGGCAGCAACGGCGCAGCGACTCTAAATGGTACGAGAAGGAGAAAGAGAATCACTTCAAATACATGACGGCCTTCCGGGAAACCTTCAGCCGGCCGGTGACGCAGATTGAGTTCCTGGGTCTGTTTGACACCGTGAACAGCATCCCCCGATTTGAAAACCCGTGGTTGCAACGCAGCAAATTCCCATATACGGCCAAGACATCAGCGAGGGTCTTCCGGCACGCAGTGGGCATCGACGAGCGTCGGGCCAAGTTCCGCCAGGATCTGATCTCCGAGGTCAAACCTAGAGGGCCGTCCCGACACGCGCGACTCCGGCAGCATCTCCAGCGACATGGGCTCCACACACGTCACCATAGCTGGCCTAATGCTCATACAAAAGACATTCAAGCCCCAGACGGAGCACCAGGGAACACTGCGCAGCAGAAACCGGGTCCGGAATATTCGACTTACCGGCCAACCCACGCGGCTCAACGTCGGGGGCTGGCTAATGACCCTAGTCACCCACGCGAGCGACGACAATATCGTGCCAGGCCACATCATGAGCCAGGTGACTCCGCTGGTCCAACAGCTTCAGCAGTAACCGAAAGTGAATCATGTCCCTCCGAGGCCACATCCACTCATTCTGGTGGCGACAACGACCCCGGTTCCGATGAAGATGACCGAGATTCGCCACAGGACATTGAGGAGGTTTGGTTTCCCGGGGCGCACGCTGACATCGGCGGGGGTTGGATGCTCGACGACAGCGAGGAATGGGCATTAAGCCACGCTCCACTAGTCTGGATGGTGCAGGAAGCCCAACGTGCGGGGCTTCGGTTCAAGCGGGCGAAGCTAAAACAATTCCACTGCTGGGATGGATCTCTAGAAGCTAGGAGGCTAGCTAGTGGCATGTCCAGCGGAGAGGAGCAAGATACCAGCGATACAACAGAAAGGAATGCCCAAAAGCGCGAGTTCGTGGCTGATCCGCAGTTTCAAGAGGCCTTGCGGCTCTCAAGCACTGGTGGACAGCTTCACGACTGCCTGAAGGTTGGTAACGGTCTACCATTGAGCTCGGTCCTATCCTGGAAATTTATGGAGTGGATGCCGTTCCGGCGAATGGACCTACGGTCCGATGGGACCTGGAAACCTATTAGGTGGCCGCTGCCGCGGGGGAAACGCGCGACATCCCCCCTGATGCACAGGTCCATGTATCAGCCATTCGACGGCTGCAAGCCAATCCTGACTATCGTCCAGGGAATCTGATCATTGGAGGTGGGGGACGAGGCGTACAGAAGGCCCCGCAAGAGTATGGCATTGGGGCGTGGAATGTGTCTCGGTATGCAGGGTGTCAAGTGCGAGAAACCTACACTCGCAAGGATGCCATGGCCCAACCTGTTAGTGTGCATTAATTTTGTCTGGTGAATAGGAATTGCTCCTGGTGCATGTCTGATGAGGTGGCTTGCTCTTTCTTGTCACTTAACTAAGTGCTAGGTTATGCGACCATAACAGTAATTAGTTCTCTTCCTATGGGTATAGCCGGCTGCATCCCCTAATCAAGCACATCCGATCATAGGATTTAGAGAGAGCTACCTGTCCGTCTCGATTTCTCTCTATTTACTCTTATTTTGGTTTATACTCTCCATGAGCACTCACCCCGACATTTACTTACAATCATGTTTCTTTTCACACGCACTCAGGTGCATCACAAGCTAGAAACCCATTGATTAAACACAAATCCATGGCCAATAGAATTTCTGTAGGCAATTCAACGTGGACCTAGAGCAGTTCTGGTATGACGAGAAAGAAGACGAATCCGACCAATAACCCACCTAAATTGTTCCAACAATAAACCCATGCCCGGTGCTATATGGCCCCTAGAAGCTGCTCCCATGCTCCCAGAAACCGTACACTAGAGTTCGAAAACAGATTTACCCCCAGACACTCCACTCACGTTTTGTTTCTCAGTCCCGTACCCGAACCAGGTTAATCCGTGCTAAGGGAAGGCGTAAATAATCCTTTCCCAATAAGAAACCCTTTCAATTCCAGAACGACCACTTTATGTATAATACAGTACTTTGCACGAAACTCCTTACACTCCTACCTCAATGCCCCTCCATACACTGACACGCACCCTAACACCGCTATCTTGAGGTCCGCCAGATTCCCGGCGCAACATAGCCCCGAGACTACCCCCGTCCAAGCTACATCCCATCAGTGATATGATACAAAGCTAGTCGCTAACCCGCTCACAAATGGCCTAGGCAGCAGAATACAGCGAACAGACGAGCAAAAACGTTAAGAGGCAACTTGCGACTGTTTAGATACGTCTATTCCCCGTAATCTGTGTCGGCCGCAGACGAAGCATAACATTACCGATGCTAGAAGTGCTCTGTGACTATTTACTAGAAAAGCTAGGTCTGTACGTCGGGAAGATAGCTGTATTTCCATGGGACGAATTCTGGATGCTTACAACCACCTCTAGGATTAAGAGGGCCTTAGGTCCTAAGGCTGGTCTAAAAAGACCACTAGAAAGAGTGTAAAAGAGCAAAGTGCCGAATTACGCGAACTATATCTTTATAACCTCTCCGAATTTGAGTCGTACCACTTTATCCATTAATAAATCCGGATGTGATAGACGAAGTAGATTCCGACAGATAGCTGGTCACCACTCGGTATAGCACATCGATAAGTGTCACAGTTCCACCGTGACGAGCGTTATCAAATTCTGCCTAAGTACTTGATTTCCACTGCCACATCTTGGCGTTCCCTTTCCGTTTTAGTGCTTAAGCCCCGCCGCTGACCATTTAAGCTCGGCGAAGGATAGGGGCACCTAAATCAAACAGAAAACATGGATTGGGAGACAGTGATGAATTGACTCATCAAGATGGGGCGAAACTTTTGTGTGCCACCGTATCATTGGAGAGTGGAGGTCTCCTGCCTTATTGTAAAAGACCGCTCCCGACCCCAGTAGCTTGCGATCGTGGAATGTCTCGTGCTTATTAGCACTGACCATCGGAGAGATCGGATGCACAGGAATTGCGGGGTTTCAGGGAACCGTTCTCTAGCCGCAATGCTCGACCAGTATTCGCCTCCTGTGTGCATAACATCGAGGGGCTCATTTTCATTGGCATAGCTAGCAGATACCACTGAATCACCCACGTTAATGTGAGAGCCTGTTCTTCCTCTTTTGCCATGGCAGCTCAAGAGAATGCCCCCAAATCTCTCCCTGAACTGATTGGTGAACTAGTCGTCTAGTCCGTGTATGGTTTATGATACGGGGCTGACTACTGGGAAAAGAAAGGTGCATCAAGTAGAGAGCAAAGTCGGCAGAATTCAGAAATCCTAAAAGCACAAATCGAGTTGACAGTGCCGGATGTAAACGGCAATTTTCTGCGCGTGTGAGCGAGTCCGATTTAAGCTAAGTTGAGCATACGCTAGCATTCTTAGCAATAATCCACTCAGTGCCGGCAGTGCTTTCCTTCCAATAGATTCTCCTGAAGGTGCCGCGGTGTGTGGGGTCTGTAATTTGCGAATCACTTTACTGTACAATACTACACCTAGGTTATTCGCTTTCATGTTAAGAAAATTCGGCTTGTATATAGTAGAAGGCGGTTAAAAATTAACGCACTGAACCTCTTAGAGCCAGCAAAATCATTATTAAATATGCAATTTTGTTCGTGCTTGGGGACTGTCCCCACAGCAGGATTTGATATCTAAGTACCTCTCTCGCTAGTTCACCAAATATTGCAAAATGCTTTATGTAATCTGCAGTCATAGATAAGCATCTCTTTTACCTGAGATATGTCCATATTTATATAAGTGGTATTGAGAGATAGATGTCTTGCCCAATAACTAGCTGGTCTTCCTCACGTACCTAATTCATTCAGCCACTTGGCATGAAAGAAGTGGGGACATAAGGATATGCCAGTATAGGAGTTACGGCTTATCATTTGTTCATTCATTACATTGTACCTTCCAAATTAGAACGTAGTAGACCCTATCAGTAAGGACAATAAAACCTTGGACCAATTTAGTAAGAAGGGGTCTAAGCGATGAATGAGTTTCCTCTACATATGTGGAGGTAGCCAGCACAGTGGTCAGTTTGGTTAGATAGCGACGAATCATGACGTTATTTTATAGAACACATGGAACCCGAAACAAAAGGATGCTAGGCTATGCAGCTCTCTCAGAAGGGCCAAACCAACATCAAGCTTAGGAGGAGGTATCAGGTGTGATACGATCAATCAGAGGGTCTGACTGAAGCTTTTTGAGGACTGAATCTGGTACACAGGCACTGGAACGCATATTAGTAAAACATCCGATGAAGTGTTGTAGTAGAGAGGCCACATACACGAAGCCTCTAGCGACCATATCTGGGAACCTGTTGATTACAGTTCCACCGTTTTCGTTAATCTGTTGGATGTAGGTATTGATCTGCTCAGTGGTGGCTGAGTCTTGAAAGGTTACCTGTCTTCGTTAGTGGGGAGCGTAGGAGACGAAGTGAAATTAAGTTACAATATAATTCGTGGTCATCTTGTCAGGCGTGTGTGCAATTGATGTGAAATTTTTGCTGAATGGAAGAATAAAAGCTTAGATTGCAGATTATTCCTCAGCTGTAATCACGCTGCCTATATTATTAAGCTACATTTGCGTTGAACCGAGGAAGCAAAATGACATCATCGCTCCGGGAATCCTCAATGGGTGATGGCCGGACCCATTGGAGGGAGGTTACTAACTCGATATTAACATCGTACTGGGTATATCTGCCTTGGAACAGACGAACCTGCTAAAATATGGAGAGTATTGCAGTCTGTGCGCCTTGAAAGTTTTGAAGGTCCTGGCTTTTCTCCGCACACCATGCCCTGTGGGTTTATGCGTCGAGATTGGTGTTTCCGAATTATCTGGTAAAATCTCTGCAAAATACTTCTGCGATAGAGGTCGGGTGCATGGCTTATGATGTTCGCGTTTCTTCGTTTTGATTCGTGGTTGGGACTGTCTTCATTCCGCCTAGCCATTCAGATAGACAAAGACCTCAATCCGTACAGTGGACTCAAAATGGGTTGTGACGTTCTTCTTTGTTAAAATAAAATCAGCGCCGGCACTGCTGTAACTTCCGACGGCTTGCGGTAGGGCATTGGTGAGGCCGTCAATGAAAAGTGATATTCCGCGATGATATCGATGACATCATTTCGCGCTGGACGCACGATCTATTGCCGCGAGCGTAGACGTCGAAACACCTCGTTCTGAAACCACACCTTTCAAAACGTATTATTGTTACCCTGAGCAACTCACTCCATCGATTTATCGCTCAGGTGATCGCCAACATATATGCTTACGGAATCGATACTACTAGAGGTTTACCATCAACGGCACACACAAGATAAAGATGGCTGCTGCCTTTGATGGTAATCTCTCTGCGCAGGAGCTTGCTGACATGCTACCGACTGGCGTTGCAATTCTCAATCAAAACGACGAGTCAATCATGGTGAACCGGCGTTTCCGGGAGCTTATGACCTGTTCAAGAGCTAAGTCATTCGAATGCTGGTCACAATCAATCCACCCAGATGATTTCGACCGGATAGCAACTGCCTATTTTGAGACCTCACGCTCTAAGCGTGCCCTTCGCATCGAGTTCCGCACTCGCAGCCGAATCCCTTTGTGGCGTGTTCTGATGTTGGCTCCGTTAGATGACGCTGATCTGCACCGGCTCAATTTAAGCAATGGAGGTTTTATCTGCACCATAGCAGATATTACCCACGAAAAGACGGCCGAGCTACTGCAAATGGAAATTGCACGAGAAGCGCAAGAGCGCAAGCAACAACAGGAACGATTCATCGATATGATTAGTCATGAAGTCCGAAATCCTCTTTCTGCTATTCTTCATTGCACAGAGGATATACTTGAGGCAGTGAAGGACAAAGAAAGTAGCGGGGTATCTGTGGCAGACATTACACAAGCGGCAGAAACAATCAGCTTCTGCATTGCACATCAAAAGAAGATTGTCGACGATGTCCTGACCTACTCGAAGCTAGACGCATCAATGTTGACCTTGTCACCGCGAAGGGCTCAACCAAAACGACACTTGGCACGAACGTTGTCCATATTTCGACCGGAGCTTCGGAAGCAAGACATTCAATTTGAATACAAACTTGACCATTCATACTCAGATTGCGGGATTGAGTGGGTGTTAGCCGATTTCGGCCGGATGGGCCAGGTTCTCATCAATCTGGTTTCCAATGCTATCAAATTCACCGCCAAAGCGAGCAGTAAGAGAGAGATCAGAGTCTCCATTGGCGCCTCTACGAAGCGGCCGCCGTCTTACCCTCCCAATGTTGTTTTTTTGAATCCAGCGAAGATGCACTTCGCTTAGATGCCACCAACACACCTGAGTGGGGAGAGAATCCAATCGCATATGTGATGGTTGCCGTGAAGGATACAGGGATTGGCATTAGTGACCAAGCTCAAAAGCGGCTCTTTGAGCGCTTCAATCAAGCAACACCTAGAACCGATAGCGTTTACGGTGGTTCTGGTCTTGGCCTCAATGTGAGCAGAAAGCTCTGTCACCTTCACGGTGGAGAAATCGGCGCAAGCTCAAGGGAAGGGGAAGGGAGCACGTTTGGTTTCTTTTTCAAGGTCCGACTGGAAGTTAAGCCATCTAGTCCCGATCTGCCTAATTACGACGATTCCGAGATTGACCAGCTATCTGGTGGGATCCAAGCGCTGAGCAACAAGGCCATCGGGGTCAATAACCGGACGCAGTCTCCTGAAATCCCAGAGAATCCCATTATCACTCACATTCCGGAAATCTCCCCGGGGGCTGCGAGTGACGAAAAATACACGCATACGTTGGAACTAGCCCACCAAGTTAATCTTGACGAGCCTTCCGCGAGCGAGCACCAAATCTTACACCCTAATCTCGATGACGACGGAGCCTCAAAAAGCCCCGAAGTGTCCGGCACAATTGGTGTGAAATCTGATACAAAAATGCGGCATATTCTCGTGGTGGAAGATAATATAATCAATCGACAAATCGTTTCTCGGAAGCTGCAATCCTTGGGATTCCATATCTCGGAGGCGACGAACGGCCAAGAGGCCTTGGATGCTGTCCGACGTGAGGAGTTTGACTGCATCCTCATGGACCAAGAAATGCCAGTCATGGATGGAATGTCCGCAACTATGGCAATCCGCAATATTAGTCGCGACTGTGCATCGAATATCCCTATTCTTGGGGTCACTGCAAATGTGAGGGCGACTCAGCAAATAGAGATGTTAGATGCTGGTATGGACGATATTATCCATAAGCCATATCGAACCAATGACTTGTTTGAGAAGATAAATCAACTGTTAATACTCAGGCCGAAGAAATGAAATGTTAAAGTGGCTGCTAGATATCACTTTTGAATTACCTGGTGTCTGAAGAAAGCCGAATGTAGCGGACTTACGTTCAGAAATACCCGCACAAATTTGGCGTAATTTGAGAGTGTCCAACACCGGCCCCGAACACGATGCGCTGGCGACATTCCAGCGGACGACCATCTAATTTCCTTGTGGCCTCTTTTCTAAGGCCTAAATCGGCCGAGTTCTTGACTCTCGCTGCCGGACTAACATGACCGAAGTTGCCTCCACGATGTCTTCGTATCAGTGCTTAAGTATGTGCGCTCGCGAATGTTGCGTTTTAGTTTGGACTTCAAATCGCCGCAAAAAGTGCCTCCAGCATATACTTTTCATCCCCAAATAACCCGATATCTTTGCAATAACTAGCGTCTCGGTTACTAAACAGATATGCCCCTATCATATAGTAGATGAATTAAACAGATACTAATAAGAAAAGACTGATTGTTTACGCGAATTTATTAATGATGAGCGTACCAATAAATACGGCTCGGGATGTAAACAAGGTAGAGTGGTGAATTAAGGTAGATTGAAAAGCGGCAAGGGTGAGCACAAAAATGGAAAGAGAAAGGCTTTCTGTTACTTCTTTTGGGTTGAGGATGAGTTTATCGAATATCATCTATGGAGAAAGGTCCTCATACTGCCTTCAACCTCGCTGATCTGGTTCAACCAGCGACAAAAGATCCGGTCGCGTCACGTTTGATAGTCAAAGTTTGTAATATTTATCAGAATCATCTCATCTGGGTTCATTGTAAACTATCGAGAAAATGGGGAATGAGAGTTTTTTCTGCCATAATTATGTAAGCGAATTGGAACCTTCTGAATACTTTTGACCAGTGTAAAGGAAAAAGTGAATAACTGAGTGACTCGTTACAGACTTGACATCACAGATCGTCGGCCCATTCAAGGATGGCTCTGCACTTTCTCATCTGTTACCTGTCCGGAAAGGCGGATGTTGTCAGCATGATATCATGGCGGGCAATTATATACAAACCATTTTTATCTGCCCCTTCCCCAACTTCAAGTCTACTTTAAGGATTTTTGAGCCAAACAGTTGCCTAGGCACAAATTTGTACTATTTTACTTCTATCACCGATATGTCGACATTTGTGCAAAAAGCAGAGGAAGTGATGACGAGGAAGCAGCCCGATGGGGACAGCTCCTCAAATTATGGATCTCATAATTCAGATTCAGATCCAAGTAATAAGGCCGATACACAAGTGATTAGTGATAAAGGTGTGGCAGCTATCTACCTTCCATAATTGCAGCACAAAAAGTTGACCTGTCTAGAAAATCATGGAGCCAATTTCAGCAGATTTTCTGGCGATGATAATCTCGATTCAGTCAGACACTACGGCAGCAACGACACTTCTGGCCCGCATGACTCTAAGGTCGCAAATAAGCTCGACCCTCGGGTTGACTCCAGCAAAGATGACAAAAATATCCCTGGTTGGATGATCGCGTGAATGCTGGCATTAGTGGACAGAAAAACATTGTAACGGGTATAATTGAGAGGTTGGGCTTGCTGTCTTGCTATTGTCCGTCATACACGAACGGAAGCCGAATGCGGCTTCAACATATAAAGGAAAACGCGAGAAGCTTACCGACGGAAGCGTGCCTTTGTGTATTATAAAAAGTGGATGGTCGTTAAAGAAGCGCCAACTACTCGTACTTCGATTTTCTCACTTGCAATGGCGGACCTCACATGTACCAACGCTCTCACTTCACTTTCATACCCAACTGTTCTGCTCGTTGTTCTGCTCAACGATATGGAGACGTCTTAAATATTGACCATTTTGACTGAACTATGATAGAGTCAATGGTTGCCTGGTGAATATCAACCGGCCAGCCTCTATCTTTTCGGTGGCCAATTTGTCGGTCTAACCTTTACGTTTATCTAGCCCCAAATTGCTATAACTGCCAAAATATACCTACCGCCTAACACAACAGAGGTCTATTACTCGTTTCCAAAACTTATTGAAAGGTGTCATAGCCAATGATCATATATACCTATCAACCAGCTATCTGATGCTATGCTTAGATTCAACATAAAAACAAAGCAGCTGTTCGTGCTGACAGTACGAACAGTTAGGGATAGTTCTGTCACATTGTGTATTGCTCTCTCGGCAACACTTGCAGGGTATAGTGCTCACGCGAGGAGTGATGATCTCCTGCCTCCTGTTTGAAGATGAAAGACTCGGTGGCATATCATCAGTGATCGCTTGTCGATTTTGATGGTCAAATTGACTGTTGCTTGCACTGCAAAACCATTCTTTTATAGAAATAAAGACTGTTGCAGAGGGCCTGCTGAGGATAATTAGCACGGGAACCAAGCTTTGTCTGGTAAGGTAAACATGGTATGGGACTTGCATCTTTTTCCTAGGCCGAGACGTGTAAGTGAGTGGGGTGGGATGCACGAGATAAGTATGTAGTCCTCGTATATCGCAATGCACTCAATGGTCTCATTTGTATGCTTTTGTGCACGGAATCTGGCGGGGCGAGGTTGACCTAATCTAATATAGACTTGACCGATCGAAATATAGAATTAATTTACACAAGATCCCGCGTTACTCTACTGTAAGCGTTATCTATCATGCGTAACAAACTGCCAAACCAATGACAGCTGGTACGATCCGGCGCCAAGCGGAAAGATGAGGTGGGGCAATCGTCTTCCAAGGTTGCTTCCCCTACATGTACTTTTGTCGTCACTCTCTAGTGTAAAGTTAGAGCGTGTCCGGAACTTGTATGACATCATCTCAAAATAGTCGACAACCCCCTTCCCCAGGTACATGCTTATAACTAGACTAGTGCTTCGTGGACTGCCACCTTTATTGGGCGGTGCTTTGACGCTGTCAAGGTTCCTGTGTTCCTGTGTTGGAAGAGATTCCCAGGGATAGTATGCTTGCTGCAGCCAGCAGCCAGCAGCCTACGCAATCTGCGACACAAATTGCTCTCCACTGTGAATTATGTGGAGAAGCTCATGGTCTGTGGGTTAAATCGGGCGACTCGACTCTTGTGACAACTCGTGGTGAAGATCCGCGCGTACCAAGGGATTGTCTTCGGGGTGGGGTACCGAGGAATCTGGTGTATAGAAGTTATAGAGTACAAGGATCTTGATTACCTTGGTAATGGAACCACAGTGTTTACTTCAGGCCACACCTACCACACCAAATATGCTTCATACTGTCTGATATATCGCACATTTAACCGAACCCAGAAAAGGTGGCATCACCACACCCTCCGTCAATAAGGGCACCGTTCCCCGACAGAAACTGCACAATACCCTGGCCTCTAAGATGTCACAGAATCCAAATCAGCTCAATCTGGCCTTATTTCAATCGAGTCCCGTTTATCTAAATGTACCATAATGCCGGATATAATGTGAACCTATGAGCGTTCTCTTTGTCCCCGTTTGCCACCTGTGATGATCATTAGTGCTGACGGGCCAGACTTTGTTGGAATAGCCTCGACTCTGTACAAGCCATTTCTCGCATCCCTGGAAAATTTTGCTTTTCATTGGTGGTATCTCGGTGCGAGCCGGCCTGGGGCAATGTTGGAAGTGCAGGTATTTGGCGGTTCTTTGGCCTCTGCCTGTCGGCTTGTGATCTGCGGTGGCTATAGATCTCGACCACGGTCCACAATAGTGACACTGTGCGTCCATACCATTGGAGCTGCTGAGCTCATGAGCTATCGACATCATGATCCGGATTCTGGTTATTCACCCCTGGATCTTGAAAGAACATGTTAAGCATTGGTTCGTGATAAGTATAAGAGCCAATATTGGACTCCTCTGCCATCTTACCTTCCCTAATACTTCCAATGTCCTTTCCTTCCTAAAATACGATATTTCAACAACCATAACTCGATATTTCTTTCGGAGACTACATCGCGCGATGGCTACAATGCTTGAGCATTCGAGTACCATAAAATCTTTAGAACCAGACACGCAATTCGTGATTCCGGCAGCTACGGTCTGGTCGAACCCTTCCCACATCACTTGCAAAGGAGATGATTTCCCTCCCGAAGATTTGCGCACCAAACAAGGCAGCGAAAAGACAGCCAACCTCCTATTAAATCAAGAATTAAGGCCACAGGTGGAGCCTAAAAGCCGGCCGCGGCGTGGCTCGAAAATTCAGCCTTCCCAAGACGCTGTCAGCCCAGAGAGGGCCCGGTATCTCGAACGCAACCGCATTGCTGCGAACAAATGCCGCTTAAAGAAGAAGCAAGAGCGTGAGGAAATCCAGCGTATGCTACAAAAAGAGACGGCCAAGCGGAACGCACTCCTAGCTGAGGTCAAAAAATTGAAGGAGGAGACCTGGCGGCTCAAAAACGGGGTCTTTGCGCACGCGAAATGCGGGGACCATCGGATCAACCTACAGCTCACAAAAATGACACAACAACTACTCGAGAAGAGCTCGTTACTGTGTCCGTCTGTTTTGGATATTACGTTTTCCGATACGTCGGACGGGGGAATGAAAACAGACGAGGAGGGGTTGAAAACAAACCTGTCTACAGTCTCTCCGGCGTCTTCGGTGGATGACACAGCGACTTGTGCCGAAATCTTCAATTGTTACATTGATCTACCTAACATGTAACCTGGCTTTAGCTGAACATTGTATATCAACGAATACGTGTATATTCAATTCATGACGCACTATAAATAAAATCAGCCAGCCATTCATACTGTGAACCAATGTTTGATTTAGATTAATTGATTTACAATACGTCCCTGTTTCTCAACCATAATTACTGAGACACGCGTCCGGGCAATCTGTGAAATGAGGGATTGGAGACCTCTTAATCGTTAGCACCCTTCTTGTCGGCTTTCAAGGAGGTACAAGTAGGGTTCCCGGGTGGCTCGGATAAATCAACCACCAATGATGTAAGGCGATCTGCGGAGTGGGGGAATTTGATACCTGAAGGTATTCCAAGCTTCTGCAATTGAATTATTCCGCGGCTTTGCTCTGTTGTACTGTAGCTGGCCATAATGGTTGATGTCACAACAAATTGTCACCGCAAGACAGCAACGACCCGCGTTATTGTGTTATCTCCGGAGTCCTTTTCCGCTACAGAAAAATTGCCACCGCACGACAGCAAGGACCCACGTTATTGTTGTTATATCCGGAGTCCTTTTCCGCTACTTTATCTACTTCAGTACTCCGTATTCAGTACCATGATGGTAATTTTCATCACTTTATTCTAAGAAGTCGTTTCAAATCACTTTTAGGATATTGCTTCCATTGCGACGGGCATTTTCTCTTAGCCTGTTTGATCTCAATCGCTTCTCGCCTAAGATGGGCCCGTCGCTGGCCCAATTCACTCGTATAGACATTATGGGCTCGGTATTTGAAACCACCAAGAGGTTAGCATCATTACGCTGGCCAACAGATAATTGCTGAATATAGACTTAGATATGACCGGGTGGAACCTGTTGGAATGGGCATATCTGGTCTCGTCTGGTATGCTGCTAGCTCGGCTCACGATGTGCAATTTCTGATAAGACCTTTTATATTAGTTCAGCAAGAGATCAACTCACAAATCGAACAGTCGCGGTAGAAAAGCTTTGCGACCCATTCAGGACAGCAGTAGTGACGAAGCGCATGTTCCGCGAGGTTAAATTGCTTATACAGTTTGAACATGAGAACGTTCGTCACTCAATTTTGTACTTGGATCATGGCTTAACCAAGGAAAGATCATCAATTTAAGGGATATAATCGTTTCACCCTCCGAAGAAATGTACAGATTCGCCCCCTTCCTTGTTCTATACTGAGCACAGCTAACTACGAAAAGCTATCTTGTGACATATCTTACGGCAACGGACCTGCACACTCTGCTGAAGACCAAAAAGGTCGAGGACCAATTTACTCAAATTTTCGTTCATCAGATCATAGTGAGGCCTTCGGCAGCAGTCTGATCAACTTCAATGCTAAATCAGGACCAGCGCGGACTCAAATACGTACATTCAGCGGGGATCGTACACCGCGATCTTAAACCGAGAAATATCTTGGTCAACGAGAACTGCGATTTAAAAATCTGCGACTTTGGCCTAGAACGCACCCAGGACTCTCGTATGACCGGCTATATCTCGACTAGATACTACAGGGCTCCGGGGATTATGCTTACCTGGAAGCGCTATAACGAGAAAGTCGATATCTGGAGCGCAGGTTGCATTTTCGCCGAGATGATCATGGGCCGACCACTCTTCCCGACAAAAGATCATATTGATCAGTACTGTGTGATCACACAGTTACTTAGAAGCCCGCCAGAAGACGTGATTGCAAATGTGAGCAGTCAAAGCGTAAGTGGCCCTATATTTGAGGCATTACCCTGAATTTGACAGTCTTAGACATTGAAATTCATTAGCTCGTTACTAAAGCAAGCACAAAAACCTCTTCACAAAAGTTGTTCCTAACGCTAACGAGAACGGTATGCTATTATCCGTTCTTAAAGTCTTAATCCTTATTAATACGCATCTAGCTGTTCCCTTACTGGAGAGAATGCTTCAGACTGATCTAGAGAAGCGCTGCTCTACAGAAGAGGCTCTCCAGGCGCAATACCTTGCACCTTACCACGACCCGGACGACGAACCTACAGCGGCGGAGGACTTTAATTAGAATTACTGCGAAGCAGATCCCCCAGCTGATGTCTAGAAAGCGGTCATATATTCGGAGATTTTATCTTATCACGACCCTTCAAGTGGAAACTTGAATGCGATGACGTGTTCTTTCGATGAAATGGAAACAATCTGATCGTCCTCGAATCAGCTGGCTCTCAAGGAGTTAGCAGTTATGATCCAACGCCTGACGTGGGGTATCCTGCCTTAAGATTGATACATCAATCGACGTGGAAATAGGAGGGACTGTTTGAACACTCTTTTACACTCATATTCAGTTGAGTTTAGCTTTCATTTCATATAAAGACATAGATCTACCCCATTGACGATCGGTCTCCATCGCATTTAAAATACTGCCCATTCAGGACTGTACTTTCACCAAGATCTTGCAGTGTTGATCACGATGCTCTAGCAAAGATTTGAATCCTTTCCCTACTATTTCGCTAAGGGAGATACGTGCGGTGATCATTGCCTCAGGATTCAGGTGGCCTAAGTTTGTGTCAAAAGAGCCATGTTATATCAGAAGTAGAAAAAGAAAACCCGAAAACAAGCTCATAGGACAAGGTATTGCGCAACTTACCATCGCTCAAGGCTTGAATTGTATCCAAAAACGACGTTTCATCATACAATGCTGCACCCACATACCGGATCTCATTGTACATCAGCTGGTTTACAGGGAAGGACGGGCGTTTCTCCCACACAGCAATATTGACAATTGTTCCTTGAGTGCGGCAAGCTGGAATCGCATCTAGGAGTGCCTTCTCCACGCCAGCCGTATCGAAGATGATGTCTGCGCCGACTCCATTGGTTAACTCTCGGGTCATCTGCGCAACATTTTCTTTCCTTGGATCAACCATATGCGTTGCGCCATACTGTAGACAGAGCTTTTTGCGATTCTCCATTAGTTCTGCCACGATTATATTTCTGGCGCCTTGGAGCTTCAGCACTTGTAATAAGCCAAGTCCGATCGGACCACCGCCCACAACGAGTACCGAGTCCCCGGGTTTAAACAGCGAAATCTTGACTGCGTGCCAGGCAACAGCAAGAGGCTCGATAAATGCGGCTGCTTCTAATGAGACATTGTCTGGAATTGGGTAGAAATGTCCTGCTGGTGCCATAATCTTTTCGGACATCCCTCCACCATATCCTGAAAATATTGAACATGTGAGCCTTAATATCAATGCATATTCAATAGTAAAAAACTGGAGCATACCACTCAGCCCTATGAACCCGATATTCTCGCAGCAGTGGTTATATCCCTGCTTACAAGGGGTACAGGTTCCATCGAAGATCGTCGGACGAACAACAGCGCGCTGTCCAACAGCAACATTCGTCACACCCTCACCGACTTCTTCTATAATCCCTCCGAACTCATGTCCAATGGATACTGGGTATGCAGAGCCAGTGATCCGGTGTGGTTTCTGTGGGATCAGCACCGGGCCACCAATGTACTCGTGTAAGTCTGTCCCTTGTAAGAAATATAATTCCAAACATCAGGACCTAAAAAAGAAGTGTAAACTCACCGGTACCACAAATGCCAACATAGGCAGGCCGCATCTAGGTTCACGTTAGGCAAAAGTATGTTGATAAATGGGGTCAAACGGACTTTGACTTGACCTTTCCCGCAAATCGGTTCTTCCACATCGTCGATACGGACGTCCTGCGGTCCGTGGAAGCGGACGGACTTCATCATAGGCATTATTCTCAGTGTGGGGAGTAATTTGACGGACTAGATAGATGTGTACAACAAGTCGGTAAATTCTGCTTGTGGTGTGGTGAATCAATCACCAAATATTATAGCTTTCAAGACTGGCATGGACGCTGGTCCCCGTGTATGATGGTATATATTGTAATTGAAATTTTTGCATACTATCGCTTCGTTTCGGGTGTATAAGAGTTGCCAGGCAGATAAATATAATAACAGGGTAGATTGTTGAGGTAATGCCAAGGAACAAAATCAAGGTATCATCTGGCAGTTCCACAACGTGACCTACAGAGCAGGGATGGGTTGACTGGAACGTACGCCCGTTTACCGGTCGCGATACCGGCAGCAGGGATACTGGTAACACCTATCCAGAAGCAACCGACGGGCCACTGACCCAGAAACATGTCGCTTCGATTATGATAAATTCCGCAAAACAAACGTGGATTGGCCTTGATCTCAAGCTGGGTTATAAGTTAACTATGAATTATATTTCACACCCTTCAACTTCAATACTTAGATAAGGATAACAGGGAGTATGCAGTGCCTCGACGTTGGGCAATAGAGTTTACCGATTTCTGGCCAGCAGAGCTATATTACATAGGTTTGAAGAGGACCGGCTGAGGATGTAATAACACCTTAGCACGTAGATAGCTTACTATTGCAGATAGTGAGCCTCAAATTGCAAAGTTCGGCCAGGTTGGGGTATCAAGGGATGTCCCACAAGACCGGTTATCCGTGGTAGGATATCCGTGATCGCCACTGTCCGAAACGCCACTTCCAACTTTTTGAGTATGTTCCATACGGAAATCTTGATCACTCAAGTGGTTTAATCTTGAATGCTGGTTTTGGTCGGCCAACATCACGGTATATGACGAAATCATACCCCGTACGTGCGCCGGGATCGTGAAGTGATGACGTAGGAGGTGAGCTTGAGCTGCCCTTCATAAATAGACCGTGGGAACCTATGTCTCAAGACTTTTGAGAGTGCTTAACTATCATTACAAATCACATATCTTACTACCAATCAACACAACAACCCAACCAATTTTCACAATGGAGACTGTGAAGGTTAGCAAACAAAACGACTAGCAATAACCTTATCCCGCATACTGACTAGATGCATATTAGGATGCTGCCAAATACGTCTCAGAGACGGTCCAGGGCAAAGGTGCTGAGACTTCCAAGGAGACCAACAAAAATGTCGCCAAGGATTCCAACGCCAATGTAAGCACCCGTGCCAGCGCTGCGAAAGATGCGCTTGTCGACAAGAAAGACGAGAAATCACATGACACAAAGGCGGATGTCCACAAGGGTAAGCCGTTTACTATGACTCCTTCACTTTCCGGACAGAAGACTGATGATTCCTAGAATCTGCTAAGCATTAAGGGATTATCGTGGGCACTGGGACATGGATTCACACAGGAGACATAACACCTATGGAATGTAATTAGTTATTATTAATGGAGCATACTTCTCGCCCCTGCAAATCTGTTAGTAGAGGGATGTAAGTAAAACCCACTCGTATCAGGTGAGAGCAGCAATCATCATCCAGTAGAAAAATGCTCTAGGATGAACATTTAAGATTACTAATGGCTATTTTTAACACTAGGGATTTAATAACTTAGCATGAGAAAGTAAAGAAAATGGCCTCGGGCTAAGGAGAACCTTGATAAGCTATGCACCCGCTAGATACAGTAGATTTCGAAATTAGTTAACCTCCATGCTCTTCTTAATTCCCAAGCAAGGTTTGGACATCCGCTGATCTTAATATGGAAAAACCACTCTCAATTTAACTGTTCACCACTTTTGTTCTTATAATCTTAGCAGACGGCTTTCATTGAAGTCGCTCAAGCGAGCGGGTATTTCATACGAAGCGATTTTCTAAGCCGCCTGGGTAACACGCCTCAAACTGACAGAAGAAATATAGAGAGAGAACTAGAAGAATTGAACACAGAAACGTGGCTAGGTATGTCCTGGACAAAAAACTGCCTGGGAAGCCGAAAGGTATGATTTGTGGAATGAGAATGTTGAGGGCTAATAATTGAAGGTCAATTAAGCAAGCTACTTGCATGAGTAATTCATGGGTTATTCAAAGCCCTGCCTTGTCTAATCACGATATTTGATAGCAGTTTGAGCTTACTACCTTACCGGGTGACAGCGAAGCTATATGTCTTAGTGTACGTGCATAAAGAATGCCCCACTTCCTGAAACGGACTTAGAGCCTCGTCAAGGCCTACCGTGGCCTAATGGCCGCTCCCATTGTTGGGCTGCCCTCGTAGCGTGACTCCGAAACTATTGTGACACTTCGGCGAAGTCCAGCACAACCTCGACCGTCCTGGCCCGCTACATGCTGTCTGGTTTACCTCACTCAGCTTTTGAGCTCGGGCAGACTCAACACGCTGTTGAACGATACTCCGACCTTCCTCCTTGATTCCCTTCCCAATTCCTTCAGTCTTGAACAGTCCACTTGGACATGGGTGGCTGTTTCTTGCGCGCCGATCGCGCAATGGTCGTAATCATGAAAGCCAAATGTCTTGGCGTAGGTAGAGGACGATAAAACGCCTGAGTGGCTTTGACTCTGCTCAACGGGTAAGTTGACTATTTTGGAAAATTGATTTAATTTCAAGTAAATTCAATTATTGGGCCAAGAAAGGTTCCTGTGTGTTTTTGGCCCCAAGAGGAGTTCAGCAAGACCAATCAATGATCCAACTAGATACTTGACCCACTGAAAACATTAATATCCTGCAGCTGGGGAGTGGCGGAGTCACTACGGAGTACACTATGTAAAGCCAGTAAAATCAATGCCTATGAGCCAAAGTCAACGATATCGTCCAGCGTCCTAGATTTATCCTCTCAACTTTTATTAAGTCACATCATGGCCAAACACCAGGAAAGTGAAGCCCCGCCTAACTACGACGACGCATTGATCGCATCATCTCGCTATGGTTCGCTTCCGTCGACTATGAATGTACATGGCCAGTGGACAAAATGGAAATCTATGAACCTCTGTGGTGCGAATTCCAAGGAACGTCTGTGTCTGATTGAGATGCAAACTGGCTATAGCGGCAAACCTCCGCTCGGGATGAGAACGGGATTTCTCCTGCGCGATGGGATGAGCACCAAGGATAAACTTCTTGCTGCCGCCGGCGATGAGTCGCGCGGCCTCCATGCGTTCAATCCCGACGGCATCATCTTCTTGCCGCCACTTCACCCGGACCCGAAGTCTGACCATATGGATACCGAACTCATGCGCGCCGAACCTGGCACAAACAACGACATCGCCTTCCACTTTTGCATCGAGGTAGGCGAGGAGGAGCGGCGGGAGGAGTTTGCTTGGAGGAAGGTCAAGAAGAGTGACGATCAAGTCAACAGAAATGGGTTCAAGTTGGTTCGGCTCTCGTCTAGTCAACAAACATCCCAGCGGAGCGGCAGTAGCAGCGTCCAAAAACCATCTTCGTCCGCATCTCCATTAGCAGGGAAAGATGATGAGACTGTCGCCTTTCTTGGATGGGTTATGGCCTGGCCCAGTTTGACACATGCGTTCACGCTTGAGCTGATGGACGGTCAGTCGAGCACGTTGGGGGAGCGCTGGACTCTTATGGTTATCGTTACTGCAATCCGGCTCTATACACTGCACGTAAAGGGGAGAACGAGCAAGTTCGTCGTCGACATTGGAAAGAAGACTTCGGGAAAATAATTCCAGATGTTATATGCAACTGTACATACAGGATAATATCTGCCCTTGGGCCCTTCTTTTTTGCCACAGCTAGCCGTTAGACCAATCCCATGACCATATACCGCAAGCCATGGTATACCATGCGGTATATCAATATACAACCGGGCTACAATCAGCGCTTATCCGGTGTATCGAGGGTCAGGGCGGGAAGATATCCAATAACAATATATAAGGATACTCATTCATGTACCTAGTAAGCCTTTCGCGATCAATCTTAAGATTGTTAGTTGAATATATATATATACCTTTACACTCACAAGTAAATTTAAGGACAATCCATCTAGATATTGCGATGATGGGCATACTGCCCGCAAATATCTTTCTTTCCACTCTCATTCAGGCAATTCCTATACCAACTCAAAAACCGCGGAAATATCCAATTATCGGCGCACGCAGGAGGAAGCCGTAGGGGTATCAGCACGGAATGGCAATGTGGTCCTAGTTCCCTTTTGAAGGTGTTCTTGGGACTGTCTTGGAAAAATAGTGTCAAAGACAACGGAATACATGAAAATCAATATGCTTCAGAGCAGTAAATACTGTATTGAGAAAGTGTGTCAAGTGTATGAATGAGTCCATGAACTGTCCTATGTATGTTGAGAGCAAATTTTACTCGACTCCCAAGGCCTCAACCTCCTTCAGTAAAACTATCAACAACACAACACCAAGGCAAAGACCCTAACCTCCTAGTTGGACGAGCACACCATTGGCAAAAAATGCCTCAGATCCCTATAGATTCTGCAATTTGTTGAAGGTGGATTGCATCTGTCCATACTCATCCTGGTTCAGGTTGTTGTACAGAAGGCATGCAGAGCCACAGGGAGTCGGCACCGCACCACCGGCTGCGTTACCGTCGAAAACGGTTGAAAGAACCATGCAGGTAGAAGGCAGACCGTCAATTTTGATACCTGAGAATGGTTAGCGTGATTCAAAATTGAGTGTTATTGTTATCTGCTCACCATTGTTCTCAACAGGACCATTAACAGTGACCGTGACCGACGGGTCGGACAAGCTCTCGGCGCACATATCGAAGTTGTACTGAGGCACTCCAGGCGGGGCGGTAATTTGGGTGTCACGCCCCTCTAGATCCCTGGCTTTGGCAAAATGCGCGGCAGCAATTGCACCGCCGAAACTAGCTGCAGCTGAGCCTACTTGGGCGACGGTCATGGCAACAGCATCGCCGATAAGAGGAATGGCAACAAAGGGGCATTGAATCTGCTGACCCAACAGGTATACGGCTGCGGCGCCACCGACTGCTTTGAGGGAGATGGGAGTCATCTTATTGATTGGAAGAATTTGAGATTTTCGTTCGGAAATTCGTGTGAGTCTTGTTGGTATGATGAGGAGAAGAAGAAAGACAGAGATGAAGGTAGATGGGTGTTTTATACCCACTCGGAGCTACCCACGACAAAAGACATACCTACGATATCTCGCATGACTTTCCATGATCAGGAAGTGCTCATAATCCAACTAGAGCCTAAAGCAGATAGCGTCGAAGTCAGAATTCATGAGTAAATGGCAGCTGACGCATGATCTGACAGAAATCATGCCGTGGGTTGAAGCAGGTGCTCAATAGAGGCCAAGTAATGGCCCCAAGGATGTTACTTTAGGATCCTTCGTGAAGGTCTACACGGGAATATGGGGCCATTTCTCGCTCGCACCTTGTTAGCGTGGGGGTCCACAGCTTGCCCGAAGTAAATGAATTGACTCGAGGCAGAATTGAAGCATGATACAACACATAATTATCGCGAAGGGGCCAAATATACATAGATTGACCGACCCACGCCCTCGCCCAAGGAAAGTGGAGTGCTTTACGCTGCAGATCAATACGCCAATCACAACGAAATTTTCCCAGCGAGCGGATCAGAAGGGCCACTATGCGGAAGGAGCGACTTGAAAACCTGGAAGACCAAAAATTGGTCCATAGCAATACTGTGGTCATAGATAACGGCATGATCAAGACTACCGCGGGGTTTGGCCCCAAAATAGTAGCACAGGCCCCAGGAACTTCGACAATTTATTGCCTCACAAGCTTGATGAGGAAGGTAGGCACCATAAACAGATAGGTTTGATAAAATGATAGATAGATTCAGGATTGCTATTTTCATATATCAATTGGCAATAAAGAATGCGCGGTATGAGTAGTCAGATAGAAGGATTAGGGCATACATTGTTTGACATTGTCCTGGCCACTGAGGAAGATGGATAGGCAATCTTTCCTAGTTCAGAGTGAGTGATATGGAATTCTCCAGTGATAGTGGGGAATTCACAATCCACAGCATCTCGGGGGAGGTTTCGGAATGTTACGCAAGTGTTAATAGTAAGAAGCTATTTATCATTATCATTTTAATCTTCATATCTGCCACTTTCACATTTGTCCCCTACTGTCAAACTACAAACAATTTGCAGACTATGGATCCCGAGCCACTTTCACCGTTGTTCTACTACATGATAGCGAGCGTGCTAAACATTATCGGTCTTAAAAGTCGCCGGCAAATCCGTCTTCTGTTGCTGGGACCAATCTGGCTACTTTCCCTAATGTCATTGGCCTCGTCCCATAGGCTGTCTTGGATGATTGGTGCTGATAGCACTTTTGCAAGCTTGGTGGTCTTCTATCTCCTTTACTCGACAAAGACACTCGTTTTCGACCAGCATGCTGTTAATCCAGAGCTTAGCACACATGACTGGAGCTTTGTCGACTGTTATAGGACATGGAACAATCCTCGAGAGCTACCATTACGGCTTTCACGCCTCGAAAAGGAGGCACCAGGTGATTCTGAATCGCGAGCACTTTTCTCCTTCAACCAGACAATGAAGGCAGCGACTTTGTGGGCGTTCGAGCACTTTATTTTCCAGAAAGTCTTCATCCATGCGCTTGGGCAAGTAGTCGTAGCCGACTTCTCGCCCGAAATGGAAGTTGCCTTCCAGCTATCATCCCATCAAATCCAAGTTCGGGCTATTATGTCAGTCCAATGGATTTGGCGTGCTTATTTCTTTCTGGAATTTTACCATTCTCTTCTGGCTATTGTATTCGTGGCCATCTTGCGATTCGATTATCCTGAAGATTGGCCACCTCTCTTTGGGAGCCCAATGGAAGCGTACAGCGTGCGAGGCTTTTGGGGCCGGTTCTGGCATAGGCTGACGATACCTACATACGTGTATTATTCACGCCTTGTTTCTCGGCAGTTGATGGGAGTACAGCCGGGCTCAAGGTTGGAAAAGACAATAACCGCGTTGCTCATATTCACAATATCTGGTTTCTCACACGCATTGGTTGGATGGTCATTGGGAGATGCGGCACTATTCCGAGACGTCCTATTCTTTGAGATGTGTTTCCTTGCCGCCGCGGGAGAGACAGCGATATCAAAGATGAAAATATGGAGCAATTTGGGAGGGAACTTGTCGCCGCTGTCGCGAACGGTTGCGGGCATGGCATGGGTTTTCGTGTTCTTTTTCTGCATATCTCCGATTTGGATCTATCCTAAGGTCTACCACGTTTTATTACACCCAATACGATGATTCTAGCAGTGAGGCTGCAATGTTGTATTCACTCGCAGGTCTTCCCTTAGATCAATGGGTCAAGCCAATAGCCCGACATAATGTGGCAGTGACCTCCCGAAGGCGTGTGAAATCTTGTAGGACAATTACGAACCATCCAACGAAGGGTATGTAACCTCTGACAAACCCGATAATTTGGCTTCGGAGCAAGTAATCCTGGCCGTCAGGATACAATAACGTATCATCAATGAGGTTATTGTCTCCCTTTGTCAAGATGAGCTGGCTATAGTATATTTGAAATTAGCGCACTGCAAGAGGACAGCGACTGGCACAGTGCATACGTCAAATCTGGATTGCTTTGCTCTTCATACGACACCCGAAGCACCCTATGAACCATTGGGAACGCCCTATCAGGTAACCAGCATACAGGCAGGTCGCCTATGTGGACATTTTGATGGTGATTGGAGATCAATAAGATGTCTCCTGGGGCGAACGCGGGGACCATAGACTCGGTAGTGACTATCATCACCGGGTAAGGCGTACCGGCCCAAAGTGAAAGGGCCTTCCAAGCCATGAAACAGGTGGCGACGACCTGCGCCGTGGTGAGTATGCCATTCAAAGCAGTCCGCATGACTGTGTTTTTCGACGCGCACATCAAGGAAAGTGTTGGCTGAAGCCGGCTGCAACAGCTCCGGGGCTCTTCCAAATTTACGATCAATGATTTGTCATTACTATTTGTTAGGTAACGGATAGTATTAGACTGCTGGTTATTTTTAATTACTTCCTGCAATACAATAATAATCCGATTCTTTGGGCCTGTTGGGCTGTGTACCTCCTGGCAAAGGATGGGGGTACCAAGATGGCTGCTCCGGGGTTTGCATCTACTTGGCGAGTGCCCGGGGCCCACAGCCACACCCGCCGAACAACTCCACTCAAAGCTGAGATCATATATCCCCTGCTTGGCGTAGTTAGCTCGTGCAGATCCCCGGGGCTCATTGCTTTAAATTAGTTTCCAACGTCCATCTTTGCCTAAATCTTGCTATTCATGGCTTGCCTCGCCCTAGCCCCCAAACTTGGCGCATCCATGTCTTCTGATGGTCGTAGAGAATCCTCATTTGAGGAGAGAGAAAAAATGCCTCATACAATTGTCTTTCATACCCGTGGACTGTTAAGGCAGGGGTGCCTGGCACCACGTGACAATAACGGGACAGGTACAGGCGGGGCCAAAACGACTGCTTATGTAACTAATGTTATTGCCCACCTGGGCAACCCAGGGGAGGTCCCGGGGCGTCGACCTCGGGCTGTCTTTCACCGGTACACTCTACTACGGCCTATGACAACTGAGACCACAAAGCATACTACTTACTACTTACTCTTGATATCTATCGTTAAACATACCTTGCGCAATCAATAATTGCATACTGGATTGCTAGGAATATTGAGAGATTCGGGCCGACTCTCGATGCCCAAGACAATGGACTCGGACACTGAATCATACGAGAAGACAGGCGGAAAACCCTCAGATGACATTCTTGAGCCCGCCGTCCTCTTTTTGTCGGGACGACTTGTCTTCGCTGAGGCTGCAACTTCAACCCCACTTTATCAATTAAACAGTGACATCAGGTCAATCTCGAACAAGGACTCGTCCGTGGCAGTGGAAAGAGTCGAGCACGGTGTGCCTGATCTCGAGATCGAGACTGAGGGCGTCACTGATGGCACGCTGCCAAGCCGACGACTTTTCAACCTCGTGCACCCTGTGAATGCGCAATACCGGACCGACATACCTGCTAAGTATTACATCACTTCTGCGGTCCCGGAGATGGTGGGCAATATCCGCTTCGAGACTTCTGAGGCACGGCTTCGGAGGACGTCCTTCAAAGTGATGTTAAGCCCGAAGAAAACCTCCTCGAATAAGCCATTTTTTGACGAGGGCACACAACAACTATTGTTCGATATCCACCCAAATTGGAAAGTCGGTCGCAATTGCTATAAATGGAGCGATTCCAATGGCAGACAGGTGGCTGTTGATGAAAAAGAGGATGACAGATGTAAATTATCCATTACGAGGATTATGCCACAGGAGTTGAGGGATGCACTGGTCGCTACATGGCTGTTGAGGCTGTGGCACGATACGGCCGAGAGTAAACAAGCTAAAAGGGAATGTGAGTTGGCTCGGGTTCTGTTACTGTCAAATCCTTGTAACAGCTATAGGGCCTTGTCTTTTGGCTAACTTCTCTTTCCAGTCTTTGAAAGCATGGTATCACCGGAAGCGTATCAACAAAGCATGGATCCATATATGCGAAGGCAGTGCATAATCATGTGAGATTAGATAAAAGCTCAGGGACTCCTACAGCTGCTCGTCTGTCCCAGACGAGAACGCCGGCTTGTACAGGGTCTTGCCCTTTCTCGAGCATTCAATATCGCCGAATACCCCGCTTCCTCATCGTCGCATCATCATCATCGTCATCATAGTATTCCAGCCTCTCCTGCACGCTTGACGAAATCTTCGGTCCGCTAGCGGAGACAATTGCCTGCGCCACGCAACCAGCCATCATGAAGAAAGGCAGCTTGAATTAAACATGCGTTTAGTAGTCCGAGGTCTCCTTATGCCACTCCCACCCCGTTATAGTTCCACGCCCGCCTCCCTCATCATATAGCGAGTCGCCGCCATTGGACAGCGAACCGTCAACATTGCATATCCCAAATGTATACCACAAGAAGCTGTACCAAAAGCGTAGTCTGCCGTTAGCGTGGAAGTGGCATTTACCATCGTTGTGGTTATGGCCTTCATAAGTGTGATCATGTAATATAATTTTGCGACTTGCCTAGTAACAAAGTCTAGACTAGATACCTAAATGAAGTTGATAATAACATTAGTTTAACTTCGAGCGAGAAAATAAAGCGCTAATCTTCTACCTAGGTCTACTAAGGGCTTATCGGATGACCAAAGGGACCTAGAATAAAACCGTACGCAACGATCTAGCTGATATCTTCGGTCGATTAGCGATCGTCGAGACTAAGATTAAGAAGGACGCTACACGAGGTAAGAACAAAGCTATAGACGGCCATTAATTTGGGTGATCCCTAGTGACACGAATCAAGCTGTACTTAAATATCCGACTATGTATATCAGAGCAAAGTATAAGTCCGTGTTCGTCTTATGTTGCGGATACGAGCGCTTTAACTAATAGAAGCATATGCTAGAGTATGAACAAGCTAATCACCGCCCCTACATTAGATGGTTACTTGTCAGGACCACTACATCGCCCTGGCCTGACGTTGAACTAACAACCATAGGTTGTCTTAGGCTACACCGCTACTGGGCTAGGCGTAGACGTAGTGGACAAAAGCTTCCAGGAACTGCTCGACCATCGGAACCAGCACTATAGAATCCTTATCGATGCACAAGGATCATAGAATAGTCGTATCTGGTTCTGAGCATGATGGTTAAGTTTCAATTCGGTCGGAACTATAGCCAAGAGCTAGGCTTAAGCACAGCCTTTCATATTATGCCTGGCGAGCGTAGTCGAAATCTGCGACACATTTGGAAAGGATGATGGGATGGGGCATAACAGGGCAGGCGTGAAGTTGGTGGAAGACTTGCCACATCATCAGAACCACCAAGCGGTTCAGCGTGACTCCATGGGGTATTAGTTACGGTATAATGATGATGACCCATCCGTAATAGTACGACCATTACTAATATACTGTGAACTAAAAGAAACTAGCATATTGCGGATCTTTTTTCCGAAAATCAAGTGGTAAGAGTGTGGAGGTATAGTAAATTTGAATCTACTGTACTATGCTTTAGTAGCTAGATATATATTTACCTGCTTGCATCGGACCAATGCCTTAAGGCCTCACTGGTTTGCTCTCTCTCGTGTTTGCGTAGAGGGTTCCGTCTTAGCTTGCCCTAGTCTCTCGTCCTACGTACGTAGTCCAGTTGCAACAGTCATCTATTGAGATTTTTCGGCTCCTGGAATTTGTCTAGTTCACCCCCCTTAAACGTTGGAACTTCCGAGGTTTGACATATGCTTACATAGTAGGCTTACATAGTCACTTTATTCAAAGCACCCACGTCTTTGCGTTAGTAGATGTTTAATCCGTATTAAAAATTATTAGTATTCAGTAAATGAAACCTCTTTATCTAACTATATCGACTGGACTTGGACAAATGAGAAATGTTTAGCTGGCAATATCTAACCCGTGACGTGGAGGCAGCCGTAACATGACATCACTGATTTTGCCACACCAGGCACAATGTAATCAAAAGACACTGCAATCCAAATCCAACTTCATCCTTGATTGAGAGACCATATACTATTGCACCGGAACCTCTGTTTCTCCTAATGAAAGTCGCAATCCCTCGGCAACGATTCGTCGCCCAACGACCCTCTGGCAACCGAGTCCCACGGGCATGTGAATCATGTCATCAGCGGAAAATAAAATGCACCGGTGACACTCCGGCTTGCAGACAATGTCGAGAATTCAACATTGAATGCTCGTATCCGTTAACATCGCGTGAACGACAAAAAAGGTATTCTCAACACCTATCACTGCCCAGTACACAATGGCAATGAGCATACATGTCTATTGATATATTGATATCTTGAAGCTAAACCAAAGTATAATATTAGGCAATTAAAAGCGCTTTCAAACAAAGTCCAAGAGTATGAGACTATGCTGAACGAGATGGGGAATCTTCCCGGCTCCCCTGCTAAGCGCATTAGGGATCTATTGCACAAGGTTCGGGATCCATGTCGCAAAGGCTGCATTGGAATCTATGTCTTGTCTAACATTTGACTAGTATGATTCAGATTCCGGTTATGTGTCCAACGCGACGCCCCTTAGCGTATCCCAAGACCAGGCTGAGCTTGAGCGATCCAGTTCACCTTCCTCCATTGGATCACTGGAGGCGGTGGATCGAGTTGAGGAGGACCTCAATCTAACTGAAAATTCCCGTGCCACAGGATTTATGGGTAAAAGCTCAGAAATCACATGGCTAAAACGGCTGCTGGAAGAAGAGCAGCGCGATGGCCAACCGTCAAAATCAACATGTAACGATGATAGCCGCTCCGGTGACCGAATTCCTCCACACACCATCGACTATCATCTCGATGACTTGAGCATCGGTGTTCCAGAGGCCGTACAAATGTATTGGGTTCCCCCACGAGAGCTAGCAGATCGTCTGTTTGAAACTTATCTGCTCATGGTTCACCCGCAATACCCCATCATTGACCGGACCCAGTTTTCTGTCCAATACAGGAACTTTTTTGATGCAATTCATTTGCCAAGTGATAAATGGATGGCACTGCTGAACATGATCTTTGCGATAGCATCGAACTACTCTTGTAACAGTGACATAGCAGGGCCAGGATCTGCTCGAGATCATCTGTTATATCTGACCCGTGCTAGAATGCTTAGTATGGGCGGCGATAACCTATTTCAACATCCTGACCTCCAACAAGTGCAAATAGAGGGGTTGATTGCATTTCACCTGCTGTCTATAAACCAGATTAATAGGTATGCCATCTCAACCCTTTCAGCCAGACGAATCTAAACGCAGACAGGGCATGGAGGATCTCGGCGTTGGCAATTCGATCCGCAATCTCTCTCGGTATCAATTTGAGAAATAACAGCCACTTACTTCCAGGTCTCATCAAAGAGTCACATTGTCGAATTTGGTGGTGTCTATTCACCGTCGAACACAAGCTGGGATTGATGACTGGCCGTAAAACAGCAATCTCGATGAATATGTTTAGCTCTCAATTGCCGCTTCCCTTCGACGAAGATCAATTGCTAGAGCCCTCGGCTGCCCGGTTTCTCGAAGATCTGGAAATGAGAGAAAACCGCCTGAACAGAGCAATGACGAGTCCGTACCTACGGATAATGGACAGCAAACGAACGGGTGATGCACTAATTGGGCTCTCATGGCTTCAAACACTACCTGCCGATGCCGCACTTTACTTTCTATACCATTGCGATCTGGCAGTCTTGACTCAAGAAATCTTGAACCGAGTTTACTCGGTCGAGTGTGCGATGTTATCATGGGAAGAGATCAAGAGCCGCATCAACCATCTGAAAGCGAGCGTCGATAGTTGGTTATCATGCCTTCCATCTGCGCTAGATTTCACTCACATGGAAGAAGATAATAGCCAACCCTATCGGTTCAAAATAAGCTTGGCATTCCACTATTATAGCACACAAATCATGCTAGGACGGCCGTGCCTTTGCCGGCATACGGATCGCGATACGCATGGCTTCACCCACGAAATGGCCGTGTTGACTCTGGAGTCTGCGATGCACATGCTCGATTTGTTACCAGATGAGCCAAACACAATCTACCTGTATCAGACCTGTCCATGGTGGTGCATTCTTCACTATATCATGCAGACAGCGTCAGTAATCATCTTGGAACTCTCATTTGGCTGCGTCCATATTCGAGAAAAAGAAAGCAGTCTTATACGTCTCGGGAAAAAGTCTGTCCAATGGCTTTACACAATGTCCGAGCATAGCATCGCATCGCGACGTGCATGGCAGCTGTGTGAAGGTGCACTTTCTCGGCTGGCGCTGAAGCTCGGATACGACACTCGCAATTTACCATTCCGTCCAAACCAGCAGCGGGTCAAGCCCTGCATTGATCCTGTGGACCCTGCTTTGCTTGAGCAGCTGGATGAAACAATTGACCCCAGGACATTGTATACCCACGACGATCAACGTCTATCGAGACCACGTCCACAGGAAGGTTCTGTCGCAAGCCGGGGTGAAATTGAATCAAATCTTGCGGAATTGTTGGGCTCTGAGCTTCCATCTGCGCCAAGTACCCATGACCGTAGCGCAGGCGACACGCATTTCCCCTATGACCCAATCACCGGGGAGTTCATCCGTTCTTTCTTCCCCGAGCCGAACGAAGACGAGCCGTGGGACGGCTAAAGACATGCAATTTGATATAATCTTCGACCTGGCACGGGAATCTTGAAAGACCTTTCTTCAGCGTGTCTATTCTCCAATTGAACGTAGTCATCTTTTTCTCTTCGGATTTACTAAGTGTGACAATAGTTGTATAGGGTTCACTCACACTCGAAATACCCAGCATTGTTTAAGGATGATTTGCCATGTATTTTGGATATGGCGGTGGCGGCGCGTTTGCGCAACAGAAGGCTCGACATGCTTTTTCTACTGAAAGATTGCGCGCGGAAACCACGAAAGGCAAATGGATTAGGGACGCTTGAAGGGATGGCTTAAGAGAGCTGTATCTATGAGTTTGAGTGCGTTCTATGACCCCATTTCCATCACAATTTTGATATGAACTTGACCCATCGGTCAAAGTCTACCTCGACGCAACCAGCCTTTTACGCAGAAAGATAGCTTTCGGGGCGTAAAGATTGAGAATAGGATGACATCTTGATCAAATAGTCTCAGAACTACCCCTCTGTGTCTCATGGACATGGTTTCGTCTGACACTTATCTGGTCTGCTGTCTTAACATGGCATTCAACGCCCGCGTGACTTCCCGTGCAAAGCACGCCGACAGAGTGACCAATGATCTAGTACGGTTCAGGCAGCGGACGCATGTTTCTAGTACTTCTGATATGTGTGCGAGGACTCCACAATCAGTGTAACGTCTGCGATTATCGGGGCGTCGAGTGATCCGTCGTCCATTAGGGCAAAGGTGTATTGCCCTGCCTCCAATACGCGCTCATATTCGCGGTTGATAACGGGGAGATAGCGGTCCACCTCCAATTCCAGCACCGTAGTGTCAGTCTCTCCCGCATTAATTTCAAGGCGAGTAAATGCGACAAGCTGCTTATTGGGCGTTGTAACGGATGACCCCCGACGTCTCAAGAGGTAGATCTACTTTCGTGTAAGAAAATGGGAGCCATAGGAGAAGAATGAAACCTGGGGCGGCATAGGAAGAGGCGTATTTCTCTTCAGATTGGAGAATTTACGACTTACCTGAGGAACATGGCTTCCAGCCACGGTGCCCTTATTCATGACGGACACAGTAAAAGCAACAGTGTCACCATGCGAAAAAGTGCCATTCTTGCGACCTTCAAAAGTAGACATGGCACTTTGTAAATTCTGAGAAAACGTCGTGTATGACAATCCATATCCAAATGAATACTAGGATTCATGATTAGCAATGATGTGACAATCTACAAGGGAGGCGCTCAGTCTCGATTCGTTCGGACTTGAAAGCGAGAAGCGCTGAAGGGGTTATTGCCATACCAGTACAGGCTTTGGGACATCAAGGTAGTAAGGTATGTGACTTGCAGGTTTGGTAGTCCGCTGACTATGACCATGTTCAGCGCTATGATCATTCCGAATCAGTGGCAACCTTACTTGTAGTACGCAGGGAGAGAGCCAGCATCATAAGGAACACTCATTGTCACTCGGCCGCCGGGGTTGAATTCACCAAAGAGCACATCTGCGATGGCTTGGCCCGCCGCTTGACCTAAGAATCCCTGTCTCGTACGAAAAAATATGGTTAGAAAGATAACGAAATACAAGAAACCAGAGGGCGTTTGACTAACGGTACTGAGAACTGCAGCAGATTGTGCGTAAAACTCGGGGATGGCAAATGGCCGACCACCCTCCAAGATGAGGACCACAGGTTTGCCTAGCGCAAATATGGTTTCTGCGAGCTGTGCTGGAGACAAGGTCAGTACTAGTCCATGTTCGGCATGGCCATTTATTGCTTACTTTGGCCATGCGATAGACCGAGGGTTGCGCGATCGCCATTCTCGCCATCGCTGTTCCAAGCCGCTCCCACCGCAAGAACAATCAAGTCAGTACCAGAGGCAACCTCCTTTGCCTAAAGCCACGGCCGTGTCAGTACTCCGGCCAGATAGGAGGTAGAAAAAATGATCATGTAGCTCACCTGACCAATAGCATCCTTCTTATCGACCAGGTTCCACCAGAGTTGGACCTTCGAATGAACACCAGCGGCGCTTGATCTTGGCCAATTGGCATGAACTTCGCACTCAATCCGAATATGATGCTTGGAGCCAGGCGTGAAGAGAAACTCGGACCCTCCAGGAGGCGGCTTGGTGCCGTTCTCGGCAGCATAAGTGTACGGCATGATGTCTCGTAAGATCGTGCCAATCTTACTCTGATCCGGCTTTGAGATCAGTTTGCCATCAATGTAGAGTCGCGCGGTTGTCTTTGGAGAAACAGCAACACCAATCCATCCATTGACTTCGCCTCCCGCCGGCACCTCGAACTCGCCCTCCCATGTCACACCGAAACTGTTAGATGCAAGTCCAATAGGTGGATACAGTCCCCAGTCGCGATTTGGGGTTTCGATTACCTGGAATGCTGGTTCTTGAAACTTGGTGTCGTGGTAGTACGTTGCTTGAAGTCCTCCTGGGGAGCCATGGGTAGACAGCAAATATCCAGGAATCGGGTACTGTGCGTTGTAGTGCCAGCTGTTCGCTCCCCAAGCTGAGACAATTTCTACTTCAGAGTTTCTAGTTTTGGTAAGATGTTCGAGAAGTCCCTGTCGAATTGTGCTTGCGTTTTCTGCCGGATTAGCTCCCCATGTGCCCGTGTAAGTTCCAAAGTTGAAGGTATCTGCGAATGGGCCGATTACACCAATCTTCTTGATCTTCTGCTCGGATGGCCTAAGCGGTAGTGTCTCGCTTCGGTTCTCCAAGAGTACAATCGAGCGTTGAGCTGCCTCACGTGCTAAAGGCGTATGGGAGAGCGTGATTGCTTGGGGGTTTATATTCTCAGATAGATAAGGATCGTGGAAGAGCCCCAGATCATACTTGATGTCAAGGATTTTCCTGACCCGCTTCTTGAGAGTGGAAAGCTCTACATCTCCATTCTTCACAAGTTCAATTATCGACTGTGGTGCTTGGTCAGTGGGAGTCATCATCTACATCCAAGTATAATTATACTTACGCTGACAATGACATCAGGGGTAAAGTCGTAAAGGAAAATGCTACCACCGGCATTGAGCCACTGCCGAATAGCATCAGCTGGGGAATCGGCGATAAGATGACCCGTCACGGTCTCTTGAAGTCCTGTAACGTATTAGAAAAGGTAAGCAGCGGTCAGTGGTTGAGCATACCACACCAATCAGAAATGGCGAATCCTGGATTAAGCAAATGTTAGCCAAAGCCTACACGATCATCTGGGGACCAAAAATCGTTCCGTTAGACCCACCGTCAAAACCCCATTCTTCAAGTTGCTTATACAGAAATGTATCAATGTGCGCAGGCAAGTCATCCACTGCTGTATAGGACCTAGATCTCGAATCAGTCACTTTAGACATCGGTAACGGGGCACAAGAAGTGTAAAGTACATCATGACCCCTCTTACGCCTGTGGCTTGTTCAATAGCGGCCTTGAACGGTGTCAGTATCTCTGAGAGAAACTCCCGACGGCCACGCCCGGCCCATGCATTAGAATGCAACCCTCCTAATGGGGCACCATGGCCGGCAAAATGCTTCAATCAAGCAAACGTCAGTTTATAGCTTAATAAACTGGGCACGGTGAGGCCAACCTTCAAGACGGGGACAGCAGCGTCAGAATCGGACAAAGCTCCGTTCTTAGACAGACCTGACGAATACGCCACGCCCATGTGCGAGACCAAGACAAAATCTTCACCGAAAGTCTCTATGCTGTTGTCAGCTGATAGCATATTCTGGTGAAATGAACTTGGCCCTACCCTGACTTCTTCCATAGCGGGGCTCCTTGGCGATATCAAGCACTGGTGCGAAGCATGTGTGGATTCCTATAGATCGAGCCTCTGTGCCCAGGGCTCGTCCAACACGATTAACGAGGTTCATGTCGAAACTGCTTGATAAGGCGAGGGCTTGAGGGAACACAGATTGCCTGTTCGAGCAAACAGCGTGAAGGCACTCGCCCATCGCCATTATCGGGATCTTATTCCGGGATCTCTGTAGATTGAGAGCCTGGAGAGTATTGAACTGCGAGTGATGGGTGGGATACCTAGCTCAACACTTAGTACAGCATTGATTACACAACGTCCGATATTTGGAATCCACATACCAGTCGCAGATAACGCCTAGCCCTGCGTTCGGAGCAAGGTGCAGGATCTTATCTATACAGACATGTCCATCAGAATATGCCCAGAGCAAGTAAATACCCACATACCGTAAAGGACATGATCGGATTCCTCCCCGACAAGCCAATTGCCAGATATCAACGGAAGCTGGAAGGCTGCAATAATTAGTACCTCATTGTCTACAAACACGACATGACACAGGCTTACCTAGCTCTTCAACGCTGAGCTGGGAGATAAGCAGGTCCAGATAGGCCTCCTTGTCGTCGAGTGAAACCCTGCTCGGCATTGGCCTAGTTGATGAGCCTGCTGGTGCGGACGCTGAAGTAATAGGCTTCTGCTCTGCCATTGTAGCGTGTGATGGGGAATAAAGTACGGAGATGGTAGATAGTATTGAGCTTTTGTGGTGTCTGAGTAACTGGGATCTAACATGATGCACTACTACGCACTCCTTATATTTCATATATCATGTTTCGCTGGCACACGCTGAGTCTCTCACTGTCATCATCCTCTTACAAAGCAAAGTGAGCGGCGTAACGCGGGGAAATCGGAGAAATTATTGGGTGGGGAAAGGTTCTTTTACACCGCGGGAGATGACTTTAGGGTTTTTCATGGCTGTTTTTTCCCGAAACTAAATTACCCTAGCTTAGGTCACAGCTATGTAAGCATAGAATGCATTTTGCCGGCTGACTAGACAGCTCTCCTTGCATGTGCTTGGGGGCTCTCAGGTACTGAACCGGGGTAGGTTCTTAAGGGGTTGTTGTAACTTGCCTGAAACATATCAAGGTACCGAGAACTCTCGTCCCGGACCCAGGGAGATAAGTGATGTGTTGCATGCTGTCGTATAGGGCATTGGTCTGTCTAAACTGCCAATTTCTTGTAGCACAAGTGCGTCGTCCAAGGGTAGCAAGGCTCACCGGTCGCGCCGGCCATTTGGACATGTCCTGGTCAAAGTGCGTAATCAACAGACTATTCTAAATTGCTGGGCCATTGGATTCTCCAACTGAAGGCCCACTCAACTAAGATCTCGCTTCAACGCTCACCAACAACCTATTTTATCTGCTGGGAGCGTACATAGACCGTGTAGTGCAGCTTGCATAGCAGTTCAAGTACTCAAAATATTCCATCACCTGGTCTCTTTGAAATGAGGCCTCCTACTGCCAGAAATTTGCTGCCATAATCTCGCTGCCATGTATCACGGGGCCAAGCAGCGTGATTCCATGAGGCTGTACACTACGAAGCCGCTCAGGAGGCCCTGATGCCGGACGTTTATAGCTCCTTGAATAATACCTCGGATGAGCAAAAGGATCATGCCTGCCCCTATGAAGACAAACCTTCTATTTATCCTACGCGGTGAAGATGTCATCATGATGTCTGTGGACGGGCGTGTATACACGGAAAAACTACTAGCTCGATTAAACCTCAAAACTCAAACATCTCGCGTCGGTGTTTCCAAAACTCGACGGTAACATGAAGCGTCCTATCTTAAGATCATAGACGAAAGAACTATTCGATTTGCTCTTCCACTTCGCCAGCATAATGTTCATAGACGTGTTGGCGACTCCTCGCTCTTAATTAGGCGTTCGGTAGCAGTCTCAGTCTTGGCGAACCTCCAAGGCTTGATCTTTCTCTCGAACAATTCATCAAGTTCGGCGGTAGATCGTCTAAATCCCGGTTAGAGTTTTCCATGTTCATAGGTGTCTGCATAATCACTCACGACTTGGTCTCAGGAATAAAGAACCACATGCCTATCATGGCAGGGAAGCCAATGCCGGCGTAGAACCAACCAGTCTTCAAGCCCCAGTTCCACATATGCGCGTTCACCATGTAGGGCACTAGGACGTCCATGATGACACCGAGTACGCATGTGATACCCACGGCGAAGGCTGCAGTGTAAGGCCTCAGGCGTTGCGAGGAGATCTCGCCATTGAAAGCGGAGGCTGCGGTGCCGCAAGTCATCATGCCGATATCTAGCAAGAATTATCAGGTTACGGCTTCGCCTAGTGTAAGAAGGCTGGGGGACTCACTCCAAAAGCAGGCGAACAAGACGAAAACATAAGTCTTGGCTTTGTTATCTGGTACTACACCAAGTATTCCAACAACACAGCAGGCAACCCATGACAAAGTGACTGCCCAGCAAGCCAGAGGCCTTCGACCGAAATTCTCCACGAGGGCAATATTGCCAAGGACGGTGGCAATCTGGATAGATGATGTGATGCACTTGACTGTGAAGGGCTGAGAGACTCCAGCCTGTTGGAAGAAATAGGTGCCAAAGGTTCCAAATAGCTTCAGGCCGATGCACTGCTGTGCAAGACCTGGCCAGAAGGCGATGGTGGTTCGTAGACCGTCAGTCCCTCGGAATATGGACCACCACTGCTCTCGACGTTGCTGAACTGCCACTTCGCGTTCATGCTCAACCGTCATGATGACGAGGTTGTACTGACGGTCCACATCGTAGCCCTCTATATTTCGATGAAGCATGCTGAAGATACGCTTAGACTTCTCCTCTAAGCCGCGCGTGGCACACCACACGGGCGATTCAGGAAGAATACAGTAGACGATGAACATGATTGCAACGTGGCCCCATTGAGTGTAGATAGGAACAAGCCACTTGTAAGGATAATCTGCGTTGACAGTCCTGAGCGCTATCTGGGCAGAGAAGGACCCAAGAGCCCACCAGAACTGGTAAGACATGAGGAGGCCGCCTCGAATGCGAATAGGCGCAAGCTCGGAGATATAGGGCGGGAGAGTGGCCTGGAGGCATCCGACGGCATATCCAGCAAGCAGCTTGGCAACCAACCAGACCGGCCACTTCCGTGCGAACGACTCGGCCAAGACGCTGGCGCATGCAAAGAGCCAAAGCCACCACATGGCCGCCTTTCGTCCCCACCGGTGCGAGATGAAGGGGATTGTCGACGTGCCAATGATCTGCCCGACGGACATGATGGAACCCCAAGCGCTGAGGATGGGGGATTCAAGATAGAGAACACCGGCGTCGGATGTCTTGGTGGCAAACTGCCGGACGAAGCCTTTGTTGGCGACGATACTTGCGTTAATCCTGCAGTACCCACCGTCAATCTCAGAGCTTAACTCAACAACATTCATTTAAACATACCCAATCTGATAACCGTCGGCGGCTGCACTGAATGCTGCCAGCGTGCAAAAGAAAATGGTACGCCGAAACATGACGATGCTCTCCAGGATGGTGAGCTGTTCGTAGCCCGTAGTGGCCTGACCTTTGGCCACCGCATCTTGGGCGATCTCGCTGGACTTCAGCGCGTCCTCATGTATGTCGAGATCTTCCACCCGCTCCTCTGTGCCCTTTGGAAGCGAATTGGTAGCCATGCTGATTGGCTAGGGACGATAGAGCTGATGAGGATAGTGGGTGGCTGTAGTACAGGGTGTTGCATCGGTCTGGAGGTCGAAGGGATTTTATAAAGAGGATCTCGGTTCATGATGAACCGACCGACCAGGGCAGCGTCGGCAATTTTGGAACAACCAGTGGACACGGAACTTCAGCAACCTTCCTCGAGGTCAAACGGGGCTTGGGACTCTTACGAGGCATCCTGTTCCCCATGGGGTTACCTCATACTAGTCTAAATACCCCGCAAATTGCTAGTTTTCCATTATCTTATTGTCCGTGGGGACAGCCTGGAATGCCTCATAGTTTCCATAGCGATGGGCTGACCCGATGGTATTAAATTTGGCCTGGACGTTTTAGCCGTGCGATCTGACCATGACCCTGGGGTGTTCCAGCACTAACGGTAATTTTCGCCGCGGTGAAATTCGGCCAAAGAACCATCCGGTTGGAACTCTTTAGTTGATCTCATTAGTGCCCTCAAAGTAGCCTAACCCTTGTCATCCATGCCCAGAGCGGGGAATTTCCCCCGTTTATAAGCCGGAAAAATCCCCGCGGCGAAATTCTATGTCTGCCCTAAACCCCCGTTCCACTAACTCAGATATGTCTACACCCCTGGAAGTCAAGCGGGCATGCGACCGCTGCAGAAGACGGAAGATCAAGGTAAAGGTGCGGTTGATTATCCAATGTCTTGTCTCCTCTATCTTCCAGCCTGATGATGAGACCCTAACTCCGGAACAGTGTTACTCTCCTCAGATCAGGAGTGCAGTCATGGATAGACGCCTGATTTGTGCACCAGTGCGACTCTACCAACCCATGTTCATATTGCCGAATCTCGTCTAGACCGTGCTCCTATGACTTGCCAATCGGCAAAAGAGGCCCCAAGGGCCAGAGGACCCAACGCCAGGCCAGGAGTCATGTGGCTATTCTAGAGACCAGCACACTCGGGGAGCTGTGCGATTCTGGTCGGCCCCAATTTGACGGACTTGCGGTGCTCGAGAGGCTCCAGCGGGAACTAAAGGAGGCCATTCAGCACGAGGTGCCCCGGATCCCCGTTGGTACGATAGCTCAGCATTGCATATCGATCCACTTCCGGCGATCCTTTCCGATCCTGCATGAACCAAGCATGCGTGCAGACGCAACGTACTTCTTCGGCGCGGATGACGAGATACCCCCGACATATCTCGCCGAATACGCGGGCAAAGATGGCCTGACCCTCATGAGGTCTTTTGCAGTGCTGACAGCCTTGTGCGCCGCCCAGTCTTTCCTTCATGCGAGATCTACCCTTCCGTACGGCGCCGCTGTAGGGCCCAAGTTCCTCAGGGCAGCGCGCTGCATGCTCCGTGAGTACGAAGATGATGACCGTCGAGATCCCGATGCCACTTCACTACAGATTCGGATGTTGCTGTCCACCAGCCTCCAACAGTACGCCGGCGAGAATGGGCTGGCTTGGCACCTTGTGGGCGAGGCAGGCCTCATCGCTCGCCGTATGCGGCTCTACAATGAAAGTGCCGTCAGCCAGTACTCTCCCTTGGAAGCGACTATGCTCCGAAATGCGTTCTGGATGCTCTATGTGGCGGACGCCTCTGCCACATGTATGAAAAACCGTGCCGTCATCCTTCACGAACCTTTGTTCGACTCCGACATGGACCTGGCGACTTTTGGCATGAATCAAGTGCCGCTGCTAGAAAGTGAAAATATTGATACCCCAGGCGAGTTTGAGGTCAATATATCGCAAGCCTTCCATCAGATGCGACGGACGTGGGTTGCTGCCGCTCGCCTGATGCTGGCTATTCGGGAGTATGGGCGCCTGAAGTCAGACAACAATCCCCCCGAGCTGGCCTTCGACTCGTCACAGTTTTCTAATATCACTCAAATGTATTCACAATTCGATGCCTCTCTTGACGATATACCAGCCACGCTTCAGCCATCGGTAGTATTTGGGCAGGATGACGACACTGTCATGGAAGAGGGGCGATCATGCTACATCTCACTGCGTTACCGGCTCTTGTCTGCATACTACTACGCGAAGCTCATGATAATTCACGAGTGTAGACATCTCGGCTTGACATCTATGGTTGGCTTTCGGGATGATGACTCTGTCCTCAATGGCGAGGAGATAAACGTGGCCCGGGATTTCATCAACAATCTTCAGAGCATACCATTTCATTACTTGGAAGAGCTTGGAGAGCCTGTGGTAGGTGACCTTTCTCTTTGACCATCATTCAAAGTTTGTTTTGCATTAATGTGTCCGACAGATTGAGGTTATGCGTGGTGTCGGAAGCATCCTGCTTGCAATATCGCAAAAGTCAGAAAATGCCCTTACCAGACGACGAGCACTCTCACAACTCAATGTTCTTCTCGATGTCCTCGCTAGGCTAGACTCACAAGCATCGAACAAGTTGACTACACAATTATCTCAGGCATAGGCCACGAGCTTCACTGATAATGGAGCAGCCCTGGAAGGCTCCGAAGTGATCCATGTTGTGCTCTGTACTTTACTGCTGGTTCTTGACGAAATGTGTTATAGTTGTATTGTATACAGAAAAGCTGCTAGCAGTCTCATCGAAAATATGCACAAAGTAAATTCGAAGTTGTGCGTAGATTTTGAACAACTTACTACTTATCGACAAGGTGAAATTCATGACATTCTGCCTGCTCTTCTTGGTGATGTCAACCGTAGTACAAGCCATAGCCTAGTAGCACCTGAATCACAGGTTAGTAGGGCTATCAATTGCCTATTTGGCATGAGCTGACCTTGAACCTTAGATCGGCCGGCGCCTATGATACGAGACGCCGGAAGAGGGTCTCGGTCATTGTTACTCCGTGAGTGCAGGGGGAGGGTTCCGATCTATCCCTTATGGGGTTATTCCCACATGCTGCGGGAAAACATGGCGGAAACCGCTCGCTCGGAGCTTGGCCGTCGTACCTTATAAAATGACCAGGGATGGCTGAATTGGAATTAGTACGAAACCTCTCTGCTCCCTCTTCCACCTCACTTCCTACCAAAATTGATACAAGAATGCTTTCATCTGAGATGGCCCTCCTACAACCTCAACCTGATTGGAATAATCTCGACGTCCTCCAACGCAATCGACTCAACGCCCGAGCTCACTTCTACAACTATGAAGATGAATCAACCGCCCTTACCTTTGACCCCCGAAAAAGTACACTCTACCACAGTCTAAACGGAACATGGAAGTTTCACCACGACCTGTCCCCCGTGGAGGCCCCCGATTGGGATGTTACTGATCCGAGCACCTGGGACGATATCACAGTACCTGGCATGTGGCAGCTACAGGGTCATGGCAGCCCGCAGTACACCAATGTGAGCTATCCATTCTCAGTTGATCCGCCAAACGTGCCCTTGGAAAATGAGACGGGCTCATACTTTCGAAAATTTACCGTGCCTCGGCAATGGACTCCGGACACCCACTCTGTCAGATTGCGCTTCGAAGGCGTCGACAGCTCTTTCCACGTCTGGGTCAACGGCAAAGATGTCGGTTATAGTCAAGGAAGTCGTAACGCCGCCGAGTTTGATATCGCTAGCTTTCTGCATCCCGATGATGGTTCGGTAAATACAGTGGCTGTCCGGGTATACAAGTTCTGTGACGGAACTTACATCGAGGACCAGGACCAGTGGTGGCTTTCGGGCATTTTTCGGGATGTCTATCTCATTTCATTTCCGCTTGGAGGGATCAGCGACTTTACCGTCACCACTTCCATAGACGACAGCTTGAGCTGTGCCGGGGTCACAGTGCAGGTTGATCATCATGGGGCTGCCGAGTCGTTCAATCTCAAGCTGCTCGGTCCTGATGGCAAGCTCCTAGCTCAAGGAGAAGGCACTTCTCAAGTCCACGTCGAAGTCAGCGGTGCTCAGCTGAGGCTCTGGTCCGCGGAACAGCCCGTCCTCTACACTATCCTCCTTTCCTGTGGTAACCAGGTGATCCCGCAACGCATCGGCATCCGGCGCGTCGAGGTGCACGATGGGAATATCCTGGTCAACAAGCAACCAGTCATCTTCTACGGTGTCAATAGGCATGAGCACCATCCAACCTTAGGTCGTGCGGTTCCTTACGAGTTCATGCGTCAAGACCTGGTGACTATGAAGCGTCACAATGTCAATTCTATTCGCACGTCCCACTACCCCAACGATCCCCGTATGTACGAAGTGGCGGACGAACTCGGCTTTTATGTTATCAATGAGGCAGATCTCGAGTGTCACGGGTTCTACAAGCCCGAACGCCAAAAATTGGCTGCAACGGGTTCGACGCTCGGCAGGGTCGATTTCCGGGAGAAGGTCTATGATGAGTCCAAACAGTGGACGTCTGACAACCCGGCCTGGGAGAAGGCATATGTGGATCGTGCGGTGCAGCTTGTAGAGCGGTTCAAGAACTCGACGTGCTCTATCATCTGGTCCCTTGGCAACGAGGCTTTTTACGGCAGGAATCTTGCTGCCATGTACCACTGGGTTAAAAAGCACGACCCTACCCGACTGGTTCACTACGAGGCCGACCGAAATGCCGTCACAGCAGACTTCTACAGCTCAATGTATTGCACTTTGGAGGAGTTGAGGAACCATGTCACCGAAAAAGCGGACCGCCCACTCATATTATGCGAGTATGCCCATGCTATGGGCAACGGTCCAGGGAGCCTGAAAGAATACATAGACATTTTTCGAAGCGAAAAGCTCCTACAAGGGGGTTTTATCTGGCAGTGGGCCAACCATGGTTTACTTACCAAGACTGGAGATGGAATACCATATTACGGATATGGCGGCGACTTTGGTGACAAACTGAACGATGCCGATTTCATCATGGATGGCCTCCTTTTCTCTGACCACACGCCGAACCCCGGGGCAGCTGAATACAAAAAGGTGTGCGAGCCCGTAACAGTGGAGGGTTTCAATTCAAAGACGGGAAAGATATCCCTCCGCAGTCATTACTTCTTCTCAGACATTTCTCATCTGTCATGTTCCTGGAGCATCACAGTCGCGGACCAAAAGCCTACCGAGTCGAGGCACCTAGCTCTTCCACACGTTTCCCCTGGCTCGACTGAAGAATTCGAGTTGCCTGCGGAGTGTCTTTCCTCTCTCAGCGACAATTCATCGCATGATCAGTGGGTAAATCTCAGTTTCAGGCTGAAAAGCGGAACCAGCTGGGCTCCCAAAGACCACGAAGTAGCCTGGGCTCAAATCCCCATCGCTGCATCGTCGGGTCTTATCCTAGACCGTTCCTGGCAGTTTGTGACCAAAAACGGGGTTGTGGATACCCCTGTAGTTAAAGCAGCTGGTGGCAGGCTAACCATCTCATCCCCCGTACGCAACGCGCAAGTCACGTTTGATCTTGTCCGCGGCGGCTTCAAATGGACAGACGAGGCGGGCGTCGCTGTGTTGCATGGTCCGGAGTTGGGCATTTACCGCGCCATGACATCCAATGATCTCGGATTCGGTGGCGACGGCGCCGAGTGGCTGCGCTGCATGCTCGACTGGACACGCTCGTCAGTCATCAATGTTACTTGGAGCCAGGATAACGATGCGGACAAGAACACAAAAGGGAACGTCACCGTAACCACCGAGGTGCGCGTTGGCCCACCCTCTCTTTCGTGGGCTGTTCGCGCAACACTAGAGCATGTCGTCTCTGCGTCTCTCAGCATTATCTCCATCCGAGTGAGAGGCGATATGGAGCACCGTGATATCTCCTCCCCGGCACCTGGAGTCCTTCCACGAATTGGACTTGACCTCGCGTTGCCCAAGCTATACAACCACGTCGAATGGTTTGGACGAGGTCCTGGGGAAGGGTATCGCGACAAGAAGGAGGCGTCTTGGGTTGGATTACACTCAGCAAGCGTGGACAAATTACACGTGCCGTATGAAGTACCGCAGGAGAATGGTAGCAGAGGTGACGTCCGATGGGTGCAGCTCCAAAATGGGGATGGTGTAAATGGCACGCCAATTCTCGAGGTGCGCATGGCACAAGGGCTGTTTAACTTCACAGCACGACGGCACACCCCACAAGAACTTGACCGAGCAAGACATCCGCATGAGCTGAGAGAGAGCGATGAGTTGCTCCTGCATCTGGACGCTATGCACCATGGCCTGGGATCGGGCTCGTGTGGGCCACCACCGTTCGAGGCGCATCGTTTATATGCTCAGCCATTTGACTTCACAGTGGCGTTGAGGCTGCTTTAGATGGGGGATAGTTAGGGTAATTCCACAGGCATGAGTAGCATGATATAGTTATCAAATCTTATATATATAAAGACCTAATCCTAGTGCCCCAGTAAACCCCAATTTAGACCTGACCCGTCCTAGCTTTTGTACATTTTTGATTATAAAGCAGCCCGGTTATTAGAATAAAATATTCTTCCTTACATCTGTTCTAGTTTATACCTAAATCATTATGCTTTTCTGGTATAAAGTTAGGACCCTGCGAGGTCCTAGATAGTAGGATGATTTCGGGTAATAGATATTGTAGGTTATAGTGAGAGATCAATTGCTAGTCTTCTATGGGGAGGCCAGCGACACTAATAAATACGTAGTGCGCTTATCTAATATAGGAAGCGAGATACAGGGTCATTATGGCCTTGCTTATGCGCACTACGCGGCCTGAGGCTTGACCCTATAAATCCCAGGCATTCCCAGGCACCTGGCAGGTCGGGGTTCTGACAGACACCGAAAGAGAGGGTAGATGAAGCATGTTATTGGCGCCCAACCAGGCTAGGCGAAAAGGTAGGGGGTCAGGATTTGACTGTAGAGGGGAGCCATTTCGGCGTCATTTTGGTTGCGAGTAGGAACGGGGTGAACAACTATTGAAGTCGAGCGCTAATATCAGGACCGGAGGATGACTAACAGCGCTAGCTTGGTGCAGAACAGTAATAGTTTAGGGCAGTTGGCGGGAGTCAATGTCCACTTCTGACGGTAGGTCCTTGGTATGTGAGTATGGACGGGGTTGGCCCATACTCTGAGTTGAGCCGCAGCACAGTTAGTAACGAAACCAAGAGCACGAGTCTCTATATTGTGAGTGCGGCATATCCAGATGACGTGAATGATTGCTAATACTGTGCTAAGATTATTGGTGACGATACTGGGGAAAGGTTGCAAGTGAAGGTCCAATATATACGCAAGAGAGCCAGTTCGGACTAAGACCCGTTCTTTCATGGGGCCAGCTGCCTGAGCATGCCTAGCTCTCCAACTGCCTAGGCAAACTGGGACGCGGCGTCTCCGCTCTCCCAAAACGAGCAGAAAAGAATCCTTGTCGAGAAATGGATCGCGCTAGGAAAATACGGGCGAAACGTATCTATCTACCCACCTACCCATTCATTCATTCAACGATCTCCACCCACTAACCAACAAACCCCAGGACTATGCCCTCGCCACGTTTGCAGACCCAATCATTGATCATATCCCCGCGGGGGTACCGCAAGACCTCCTTTCGGAGGAGGATCGCGCCCTCAGCAGCATGCTCTCCACCACGCTATGGATCCGGACCTGGTTCGGCGATCCTACAGATAAGACGAGCCAAGAAGCCGCAGACACGGCGTACTCCCGACTCCGGAAGCAAATCCTACAGCAGGGCCGCGAGAACTACCACGTTTCCTGCATCCCCGAGGAGTTCGTCTTCGAGGACCGGGAGGAACTGAGCGCGGATGCCCAGCGGGGCCGGGATGTGATCGGGGGCGTTGCGGCCGGCCGTCCTGGGTCTGTACCGGGATATCTGGTTGCGGCGCTGATGCACTGCCCCGAGCTCTTTGAGGGGATGTCGGATGACGATTGGCGGCATTTTATGGGAGAGGAGCGTGCCGAGGAGCTGGCGGAGAGTGATCGGGCACAGAGTGCGCTGGTTCTTGTTGCAGATCGGAAGGCCTGTGAGGAAGGCTGGGTGCGTGAGCGGGCTAAGGAGACGGCGCAGATTGCGGTGAGTTGGCAGGAGGGGCAGCCTTTGTCGGAGATTGCGGATGAGGAGGATGAAGATGTGGAGTTTTACTTGGGGGGAGGGGATGGGTGGGAGTAGTAGATTCCTGGACGCTCCTATGGAACCTCCTATAAACATGTTCTATTGTACATGAAGAACAGAGATATGGTTACCTAGGAATGATGGGCGCGGTGTCTTTGGTGCTTCCCGATACTCCGAGGTGCCAGAGTTGGCTGTGTATCGTCAAATGGAATGAATATTTCATACACGGGCTGTGTAGGTCTTGAAATCGTAGGGACGCCAGTGGGCGGTCTGATGGCACTGGCAGGTCTTAAAACCGCAGTCTTAGAATTTGCTAGGCCTCGGGCTCTGTGTCTACCGAGCCCTAGTACGTAGTCTCATATGTGTAGACTTCAGTTTTAGGTTATATATTATCAGGCTTTAGCTATAGTTCTGCAATCGCCTATGATTTAAGTCTTTAGATTTACATCCTTGATAGCCTTGTGAGAATAAACACATGCCCGATTTAGCCTTCGATCCCCTTAGACCCTGACATTTCCCATGGGCGTCTATGGGAGTAAAAAATTTCCTATCTATATTAAGGGTCTATAATTTATTCTATATACTATAAAAAGTCTATAACAAGTATTAATAACTTATTAATAAGTGGTATATTAGGTTTTAAAATTTATATTAGTAGGTTGTTCCTTGTTCCTATATATATAGGGGATCGGTAATTACACCCCCCCGTCAGTAATTACACCCCCCTGCCTGAATTTCCAGGCCTCCATTTCTTTCTGCCGGACATATTTCTGCCACCACAAACTTGAGGTACTTACATTTACTATGCAGCCCCCTAGTTAAATGAAGTCTCTTTCGTACTCTACCAACCACCATGCCAACTGCATAGCGCTAGTCCCAATTAGGAAATAGAAGCTGATTTCAAAAACACTGCAGAAATGAAGGAATTGGCCCATGCAGCGGCCGGCCACCATTTTACGTTGGATTCTTTAAAAATTTGCATGAGAATAGTGAAGAAATTGAGTAATTTGCATTGTATCAGCCATTTATGGAGCTCCGCGACGCTTCCTGAGCCGGTCGGGCCAGGAATCCTCGCGCTGGGCCGTACATGAAGCTATTCCCACGCTCGGCGAAGTAGGATTGCTCGCTGGCGATGCCGTATGAGCTTCCTGGGCCGTACATGAAGCCATTCCCACCCCCTGCGATGCCTGTTGTGTCCCTCCACGTCCTCTGCCGCGTCCTCGGCCACGGTCACGGCCCCGTCTACCTTCCTGAGAAGCTTGTTGAGCTTCCTGGGCCATAGATGAAGCTATTCCCACCCCGTTATCTCCCTGCGATGCCTGTTGTATCCCTCCACGTCCTCTGCCACGTCCACGTCCTCTGCCACGTCCTCGGCCGCGTCCACGGCCGCGTCCACCTTCCTGAGATAGCATGAGCTCGAAGCCGGAGGGGTCTCGCTGGGTAGAGGTGTCTTGGGTGCTTGCTTGGGTGCTTTCGCCACCGCCGATGAAGTTCCTAGCGCCTCGGGGGCGCCCTCGCCGGCGTACTTGGAGAGGATCCTGGAGTAGGAGTAGCGGGTTAATAGGAGGTGCAAATACACTGTACAAATGCCAGTGTTGATGAAATAACTCAGGCTCAAAGCTCTTCTCCTCTTCTTCGTACTGCATGATAAGATGAATGCATGAAAACCCCGCCGTATTCTTCGAATTACAGCGGCAAAGTGGAGGAATCGGCGGCTTATCCTCTGCTTCCGGTAGGTAATAGTTGTAGACAGCCTTCGTAAGCTTGATTGCTTGCAATGAAACCCGTCTATCTACCAATTTGAATAGACGCCAGAGATTCGTAGACCTTCTTACCTTCTCATTCTCGATCTTAGCCGTGACCTTATCGAATTGAAGCTTTACAGCGTTCTCAAAGGTGCGAAGAACAACTAGTAGATCATTGGTCGAGACTTGAAGGTCCTGCTTAAGCAGCCAGTGAGCTCCCTCGGTCCGAGAGGTCGAAATCTCATTGAGATGAAGGTATTCGGATGTGTATTCATGAAGGAAATACTCAGGGCAGTCGTCAAGCCATTCACTCTGTAGATACTCGAGTAAAGGCTCAAAAATCGGCTCTTTGTAGCATTCTTGAAGCTGTCTCTATCTCTCCTGTCTCTCTTCCGTAGTGATAGCGTAGACAACACGAATCCACCGCTGTAGCATCTTCTTCCATGCTTCACTAACCATTTCTCGAAGCTCTCGGTCTCTCTCTGCCTTCGTCCGTGAGGAAGCTGAGGAAGCATTTAGTGATACTTCAGTCTCTTGCCGAGCTTTTGCGAGCTGCTCAGCGAGTAGCGGACGTGCTTTCTTCAAGATATTCATGTTGATATGCCATAGACAGATCATATGCTTTGTAGAAGGGAAGACAACCTTCACAGCATTCATTAGCGCCTGCTCCTTATCGGTAAGGATGGTCTGAGGTGCTTGAAGGCCGAGAGCTTCGTAAGCCTCTGCAAGACAGCTTAAAATGACTTCGTAGCTACCATCCTTCTCGTCTTTTATGAAGGCGAAGCTAACGTAAAAGGTTGAGCCCGTAGCAGTGAAGCCGACGATATCGAGCATTGGAAGGCCGTACCGGTTAGTTTTGTAGGTACAATCCATTGAAATAACCCATGAATTTGTCTTAAGTAATGCTATACTCGTCTTATGCATACAGAAGAGGGCTGTAACATGATTCTCATCGTCAACTTCATACTTGAAGATCCATTCGCCATCCTTTGGAAGCTCTATCAATAGAGCTTGAAGCGGAGTACGGCCGGCAAGGAATTCAGCATGAAGCTTCTTCCGGAAGTTGTAGATGTCCTGGGCATTAAGGCAAGTCTCTGGATTGTCCTTTCGAAGACTATGAAGGACCTGACGGGTAGGAAGGCCTTGCTCAAGCTGCTTTTTGACGCTATCTGATACCGTAGAAAGCTCTAGGCTTCGCTGAATTGGGTGGGTTGAAAGAGGAGATGGCGTATGGTTATGCGACGCATCCTCCACCGTGAGGGACCATTCCCTGTCTCTAGATCTAGCCGTAGAGCTATACTGAAGGGACAGTTATTGGCAAGTGTCGTAGTCTGGCGCTCCGGAGGTCTATCAGGTCGCTTTCGTATCGGACGACCTCGGTCACAACACAGTCGGACGGTCTTCATGACCCCTTTCTTAGTACGTTTTGAGCGGAGAATTGAGACTGCATAGCCATATTGACGCCCTAAAGCATTGATCGTGGTGATTCCGTGCTCTGGCGTATCGTAATGCGTATCGAGAGGAGGTAGGGGGGAATGTACGGAGGCTTGGCGTCGCGTTATAGAGGCTTGGCGTCGCGTCATGGAGGCTTGGCATCGTCGGCGGGGACTCGGGAATAGCTTCAGGCTCAGAATCGGACGGCGAATCAGGCTGTGAGGAAGCCATCGTAAAAGAGAGTGAAATGTGAGAGAAATGGGTGAAAAACGCGAGAGAAATGGGTAGTAAAATAGGAGGTTTAAAGGTGTAAACAACAATTATTTTGAATTCCTAATTGGGTACTACGATGGAACAGGAGTGACCTATTTTTACTAGAGATTTACATAGTAATTGGAGGTACCTAAGGTGTAATATACATGCAGGGTAGTAGGTAGCAATAAATAAAAGTTCGAGGATGAAGCGGTGACAAAAGCGGTCAATAGATGCCTGGTTTGTAGGGCAATTAGGCCAAATTCAGGCCAAATTCAGGCAGGGGGGTGTAATTACTGACGGGGGGGTGTAATTACCGATCCCCTATATATATTTGAGTTGTAGAGACTACTACGACTTTCTATATAAATCACGTATTTTTTTTATTTATCTTTTTAAAATACTATATTCTACCTTAATAGTATAAGATATATATATATATATCGCTATACTATATAGATATTACTTTAGTTTATATAAAATTACCTAGTTTAAAGTAGTAAAACCAGTCGTTAAACATACGTATTTTCTAGTATTTTACTCCCACGGGAATTCCCACAGGGGTCTAGTCCCGCCAGACCCACTCCCATGGGACCGAAATTTAGTCCTATGGGAGTCCCCTGGGAAATGTCAAGATCTAGTGCTGAGAACGTGCTGTAAAACCTAGCAAGCTAGTAATGTAATGGCACCTCTTTTTCCGACACTTACTCTAACCTTAGAAGGTTGATTAAGGCGGCTTACAGATTTTCTGCCTGGCAGAATACCCCTGTTGGCACTGTCATGACCTTACTCTTAGCACTTCACGCATAGGCGCTAAGCGAGACACAAAGAGAATCTTCTCCCTTCTCAACTAAGATTATTTCGCTACCTAGAGCATACCTTGAACCAACGTCCACCTGGTATCTTCTATACCAACTCATGGTACACCCTTACGCTTATCCGACTTCCCACCTGAAGAGACTTTTACTGAGCGACGTAAGCGACATCCTGAAATGTCAGATTCAGATTCTGTCCCGCCATTTTTGGATTTCCAATCTAAACCCTGGAGGCTGGCCATGGGGCTGGGCTATCTATCGTACCTCCTATGCCAACACGTCCGATGAAGACTGGGCTAGGGCTATTGAAAAGCTCGACCAGGCCTGTCTAGCTGGCCTAGCAGATAAAGAGGGTGAATGGACCTGGTTAGGGCGTACGCTTATTGAACTCGTTCGCGAAGGTTATGGAAATGTGATTTTTGAAGACCCTACCTTGGAAGGGGTGTCAGAAGCGGTGGTTCGAAGCCGGCATAGAGCGTGGGCTAAAACCTATGGCCGCCCTGCATTCGGTCCCTGTCCTCCATTCCACTACCCTCTTTTGTTAGATGATCGCTGTGTGCGGTCGATTTTGGCTAGCGCCGAGCCCTGAGTCCCCGACCTTGCCCAATATGATCTAGGGTCGCCATTTATTATGTATGAGCAATGGTCATGTCAATGTCGTTGACGCTAGCTTTATCGAACCGCGTTCCGAAGATGAATCAATTTCTGAAGATGAACCAGAATCTGAAGATGAGAATCACTACCGTGGCATGGTCCGGGTTCATCTAGATTGTCTATTTAATTTCGCTGACTCTTGCGAGTATATGGAGTACAAACAAGTTGAGTGGGGCGATTGGGGTATGGAAACACCTTTGAATATGATTTTTACAGACGGCCAGTCAGCCAGAGTCCAACCCAAGGATATGTTTCTTTTTTCCCCGGATCAGGAAGAGAAAAGAACAACAAGTATCACTGAGCGGGAATATCTTAAACGCCAGTGCTGAGTACCAATCAATAAAGGTGTAATTAGCATTGGGCAGTGTGTCAAAAATTAATTCATTCCAACATTCAAGTCGGGAACGCTACAACCTCTGCTTCATACCCATTGCTATAGATCTCGCCAATCTTGCTCCCCAACGCTTCAAGTATCTCCTCAACCTGTTTGACTTTGCTGCGCCATATCTCATCCTTGCTCGTACCGTCAACCCATTTAGCAGCCAGTTCTTCCATGGCTTTTTTGACAAACGCCCTTGCAAAACTCGCCATTCCGTCATTTTGGCGCCTGAAGAAGCGATCCCAACAGTCCCCAAGGTCAACCATTTTACCTGGGAGTTTAAACCATTCTGCAGCAGCCAGATCTAACTCTCCTCGAATTCCCTCGTAGATCATATTGAGCCTCTCAAGGTGTTTGCCGCATTTTGATAATTGAAGACGGCAAATGTCTGCAGTGAGTCAGCGCTTACAATCCATCAGGAAACAACGAAGAACCAGAGTATCATGAGTTGGAAAGGCAGTTTCTAGCGTCAAAAGTGGTCATTTTCGGCGTCAATTCCATAGGTCCTCATATTCTATATGTAAACTTATAGACCAAATTCTCATCTAAATCACGAATTCAAAAGTAATAAAGAGCTTAATCATAATGCAGTTGATTTCATATCTCATTAATAATATGTTAGGGCTCGTACCCATACTCAATTGTCACAATGGCAGGGGTTACATGTCCTGTAGTCACCTTCTAGGGCCTACAATGAGGTCCACATGTGCCATAGTATTGGAACGGCTGATTTGCGAGACTGTAGATCATCAACCCCACCACAGCCTTGGGGGTGTCAATAGAGTGACTTGGGGCTACTGCAGAGCCACTTGCCAAGTCAGTCAAAGTCTCAAGTTGAGTGGTGGTGACGATATAGCCACACCACACCACCACAGAGGATAGATGATGTTGAAATCTCTTCACGAAGGACTAAGCTGTACAGTCCAGTGAAGATGGTTCATTCCCTAACCATGAACCCATTCAGCCATAGACTCGAACAGTGCCTATAACAAAAGTCAGCAAAAGAACCCAACAAACCAGAGACGAAGATCATACCATCCGAACACCCAGCAGCCCAATCCCCACCTTTCTCATTCCACGCCACACAACTAACAGCCTTAACCTTCTCCCCCATAGGAACAGCAGCAATAACCTCCCCACTAATAACATCCCACGCAAACGACGCTGCCCCATCCCCACCACCACCAGCCTCACTCCCACTCAACACAACAGCATCACCCTGCGCAAACACGGACCTCACCCTCAACTCCGTATTCCGATACTTATGCCCAACCCCCTTCCCCTTCTCCTCCTTATTCCCATCCCCAAATCCCTTCAACAACCCCCCATCAACACGATCCAACATCCGGATATATCCATCAAGCGTAGAAACAAGCAAAGCATTCCCATCCGCAGAACACCTCACACTGGTAACTGGATGCGCAAGGACATCAACGCTCGTCTTGCCCGTGCGCACGTCATAGATCCGCGCGTGGCCGTCATAGCTCCCGCTTGCGATTGAGTACGATCCCATGTGTACATGTAGACTTGAGACGGTGTCAGTTGCTTCTGTGAGGGTTTGGATTGGTTTGTGGCTGTTGGCGCGTGTATCCCAGAGGTTTATTGTGGTATCTGCGCTGCCTGTGGTATCGTGTTGTTAGTTGGGTAGTGATAGACTGATTGGATTTGACCTCAGTAGGATGGTAGTGTTGGAATGAAGTATAGGAGCCATACCAGTAACAACAACCCCATCCCCCTCCCCCGCAAACTGCACAGCCTCAATACGACTATTATGCCCTGACCACCGTCTCGTCGTGATACCCTGCTCAACATCCCACAGGAAGACCTGGCGGTCACCGCCTACGCTAGCGAAGCGGGCATTATCGGCTGCGACGGCGATGTCTAGGACGGAGTAGCCGTGCGCCTCGTATTTCTGGATTGGGGAGGTTGTTTCGATTGGATCGCTTTTTTTGTTTGTGTTAGGGATTGCGCGCGTCAGGTGGACGGTTCGGTCGGAGGAGCCTGTTAGGATGTAGGTGCCTGGGTAGCTGGAGAATGTTACTGCGTTTACCGGACCTGGGTTGGATTGGTTAGAGTTTTGATTCGGAGTAGGATTGGGATTGGGTACCATTATGTGTTTTGAGAGTGTGGACGGGTCTGGTTGGGAAGACTGTTCTCATGGCGAGTGAATTGAAGAAGTTGGAATGGTTGGAGCTCGGAGCTTTACATATCGGGAACACTACTACTGAACCAGCTCACAAGAATTAATCTGTATTTCCACGCTACAGAATACAGAAGTTATTATCAAGGTTGTAGACACACCATCGCTAGCTACCAGCGGTAAATGGATATAACAAAGAAAACGAAACCCGAGAAGGTCCCAAGCAAGACAAGTACTCGAAGAGAAGAAAAAACATGGTTCTACTACTCCCCTTTTTCCGGGATGCCCGGTACAAATGCATCTTAACGACGTCCGTGGCTGCGGGTGCTGGATCCCTGGAGACCCTCGATCTCCTGCTCGAGGGATTTGATCCTGCGATCGGTCAGTAATTGTTATTGCGTGTGAGCTATCCAAAACATACGCAGCATGGGTGGCCTCGAGATCCTTGTTGAGGCGATCGCGCTCGGAGATAAGCTTCTGCTCCCACTGGCGGAAACGCTGCTCCTCGACCTTGACCTGTTCGGTGAAGCGCTTGCGCAGGGTCTCCTCTTCCTCCTTGAACTTGGGGTTGTCGAGCTTGCGTGGTCGCGCCTCGCCGAACTTGCGGGTCTCCATCTGCTGGGCACGGTAGGCCTCGTAGTGCGATTCTTCGGTGGTGTGAATAAGGTCGAGCATGTGAGTGCGGATCAGAATTGAGCGGAGCTTCTTGAAATCACAGTGGTCCTCGTTCTCAACCTCGGCAACACCCCAGGCGTATTGACGGCCCTTGACAACACGGCCGTCGTTGGCCTTGACATCCTTCTCGGAACCGATAACGGCGAAAGGCATGGCAGCCATGAGGCTGCGGGCGTGGGAAGCGGCGTGCTCGTCGTCCTCCTCGACGGGAGGGGAGTAGATCTTGATGCCCTGGGCCTCAATGACAGCGCGAATCTGATGACTGTTAACCATGTCTCCAATTTCATCCTTGTGCGGTCCAACTCACTCTCTCCTTGTAACGGGCCAGATCGCCGTGGCTCAAGGTATCAGCCTTGGCAACAACGGGGATCAGGTTGACTCTGGAGCTCAGGCGCTTCATGACCTCAATGTCGAGAGGCTTCAGGGTGTGACCGGTGGGGCGGATGAAGTACAAACAAGCGTGCACACGCATGTCAATCTTGTCGGTTCGGCGGGGCTGCTGCTCCTGGAGCATGTACGACTCGTGCTGGTCATCCAGGAACTCGATAATGGGCTGCCACGAATCGCGGTTGTTCACGTAGTCTCCGAAGCCAGGGGTATCAATAACGGTGAGGCGGACTAGAATTGGCAGTCAGCTACCGGAACGCGGACTCGAATCATGTGCATCTCCTACCCTTGAAGAACTTCTCCTCGAGCTCGGCCTTGGTAATCTCAATCTCCACGGTGCGGTCAACCTGCTTCTGATGGCGGCGCTTGTGATCGGCATAGTTCTTGATGGTGGTAGAGAAGAGGGTGTTGATGAAGGTCGTCTTTCCCAATCCCGATTCTCCAGCAACCTGACGAGCGAATCATTAGCTTCAGGCTCGCGGAGTCCATGTAGACGATCATCCTGTGTCAAACACACCATAATAGTAAAGGCCGCACCCCGCTTCGCGACAATCTTGTGCCTATACCGCTTGATTAGAATCTTGTTCCCTCCACTGTGATCCCCAATTTATCGCTCGATGTCATACCTCTGGTTAGGGAGCTACATCAAGAATGGCTTGTTAGCTATCAATCAGTGAATAGGGGTTGCTGGCACTCACGTTGGCAATGCCAATAGGCGTAGCGGTCTCTGTTGTGGACATTGTGTAAGGAATTAAAACAATTCAGAATGAACAGAAGAAGAAGAAAACACAGAGAACCCCGGGTGAGAGAGGGAAGAATGAAGCTCCTGGAGGGAAAAGGAGGAGTCAAGTTGGAATCGGATTGCTCGAACTGCCCGTCGCTGCTTCCCCCTGAATCTCCTTTCGTTTTCTGGAGTATACCTCGCCTTGCCTATCTAGGACTAGCGTATCGAGCTAAGCTGTGTTGGGCTCGGAGTCGGGGCTTGGATGATCCGGCCTTATCACCTGGAATATCTCTAATTTTTTGATCTTCGGGATCCCGCAACAGCAAAAATGAAGACCGATTTCAAGGTGAGTACACTCTTAATATTATACGAAATTGCTTGGAATCAATCCGCGATCATGATTTTGTCACTGACACCAATCTAGTTCTCCAACCTCTTGGGGACGGTCTATCGCAAAGGAAATCTTCTCTTTACTCCCGATGGAACATGCTTGCTGTCGCCAGTAGGCAACAGGGTCTCTGTCTTTGATCTGGTGCAGTATGTGCTTCCTGTACCTCTTCGGCAAGCTTAAAAGTCAGCCAGCTAACCATTGACCGTATAGAAACACTTCTTACACCCTGCCCTTTTCGCACCGTACAAACATAGACCGTCTCGATCTTTCGCCGAGGGGCAACCTTCTCTTGACCGTTGACGAGAATGGCCGCGCCATTTTGACCAACTTCCAACGGCGCATCGCCATTCACCACTTTTCCTTCAAATCCCGAGTTTCTGCCCTCAAGTTCTCTCCCTCTGGACGTCATTTCGCCGTTGGTGTGGGGAGACGCCTGCAAATCTGGCAGACCCCTTCTACTCCTGGAACCGAGAACAATGGAGAGATTGAATTCGCTCCCTTCGTTCTACACCGAGACCTCGCCGCCCACTTCGACGATATCCAAAGTGTCGAGTGGTCCAGTGATTCGCGCTTCTTGCTCACTGCTGCCAAGGATTTGACGGCGCGAGTATGGAGTATGGATCCGGAGGAAGGATTCGAGCCAACTACTCTGGCAGGACATAGACAGGGTGTAGTAGCTGCTTATTTCAATGCGTCCCAGGAATCTGTACGTTTCATCGAACATCAGTCGAAATTACTACTAACTGGATCATAGATCTACACTGTTAGCCAAGATGGTGCGCTCTTTCGCTGGGAATATGTCACAAAGAAGGACGAGGACACAATGGAGGATATTTCAGAGGCACGGTGGAGAATTGTCAAGAAGAATTTCTTCATGCAGAACGATGCCAAAGTCAATTGTGCTGCGTTCCACGCCCCATCTAACCTTTTAGTTGTGGGATTCTCCAACGGCTTGTTTGGTCTTTACGACCTGCCAGAGTTCAACATGATTCATCTTCTAAGGTAAGTCATGCTGGAGGTCGCATTGCTTTTATAGGTGCTAATAGACTTTTAGTGTCTCCCAGAGCAACATTGATGTTGTGACTATCAACAAATCAGGCGAGTGGCTCGCATTCGGATCATCCAAGCACGGTCAGCTACTTGTGTGGGAGTGGCAATCCGAGTCCTATATTCTCAAGCAACAAGGGCACCTCGATTCTATGAATGCCCTCGCATACTCGCCAGACGGCACCAAGATTGTCACGACTGCAGATGATGGAAAAATTAAGGTGTGGGATGTCAAATCAGGCTTCTGCATTGTCACATTCACGGAACACACAAGTGGAGTGACGGCATGCCAATTCGCAAAGAAGGGAAGTGTCTTGTTCACGGCATCATTGGACGGTTCCATTCGCGCATGGGATCTTATCCGTTACCGTAATTTCCGAACCTTCACCGCTCCATCCCGACTCTCATTTGGCTCGCTCGCCGTGGACCCCAGTGGTGAAGTGGTTTGTGCCGGTTCCCCAGACTCGTTCGATATCCATGTGTGGTCTGTGCAAACCGGTCAATTGCTTGACCAGCTCTCCGGTCACGAAGGCCCCGTTTCCAGTCTCGCTTTCGCTTCCGATGGCAACCATCTTGTTAGTGGAAGCTGGGATCACACAGTTCGTATTTGGAGCATTTTTGGACGCTCGCAAACCAGTGAGCCTCTTCAGCTCATGTCCGACATTCTCAGTGTGGCTTTCCGCCCGGACGGGAAGCAAGTCGCAGCATCTACCCTAGACGGCCAGCTTTCCTTCTGGTCAGTTGAAGACGCTATCCAGCAAGGCGGAGTTGATGGCCGCCGTGACGTCTCCGGAGGACGACGAATTGCGGACCGTCGCACTGCTGCCAATGCCGCAGGTACCAAATCTTTCAACAGAATCACCTACAGTGCAGACGGTAGCTGCATTCTGGCCGGTGGTAACAGCAAGTATATCTGCTTGTATGATGTCGGCACAGGATCACTGATCAAGAAGTTCACTGTCTCCGTCAACACCTCACTTGATGGCACCCAGGAATTCCTTAACAGTCGTGATCTGACTGAGGCTGGTCCCCGTGCTCTTATCGACGAAACCGGTGAAGCCTCTGACCACGAAGACCGCGTGGATCGCACCCTTCCCGGTGCGAAGCGCGGAGATGCTGGCGCACGAACCACTCGCCCCGAAGTGCGGGTCACATCTGTTGACTTTGCGCCGACTGGACGGTCGTTCTGTGCTGCTTCCACCGAAGGTCTGCTCGTCTACAGCCTGGACACTGACTTTATCTTTGATCCCTTTGATCTGGATATCACTATCACACCGTCCAGCATCCTTGCCACGCTAGACGCCGCCAAGGAAGCTGCCGCCTCCGACACCGTCGACGAGGACAACACCTTCCTCAAGGCTCTTATCATGGCTTTCCGATTGAACGAACAAAAGCTTCTTCGTGCCGTCTACGAGTCAATCCCTCCGTCGGATATTCCCCATGTGGTTCGATCCGTGCCCTCCGTTTACCTACCTCGCCTGCTCCGATTTGTTGCACATGCCGCGGAAGAGACACCCCATTTGGAGTTTAATCTCATGTGGATTGAGTCCATGTTCAGCAGCCACGGTCGCTACCTCAAGGACAACACAGGTGTATTCGCACCTGAACTTCGCGCCGTTCAGCGTGCTGTCGACGACATCCGCGAGAACCTGAAGCGGTTGACCGAAAAGAACCTCTATGATCTCAACTACCTGCTTTCAAAGCCTGTTCTTGAATCTAAGGACACCAGCAGTGCTCTATTGGCCATGGACACTGCCGAGACCGACGGTGCTGATGATCAGATGGTCGACGCTGACGATGACGAGGGTGAGTGGGTTGGCCTTGAATGATTTCTATGGGTTTCTTCGTGTATGTCTACTTGCATCTGAGCCAGGCGTTTTGTATATAGTAGCAAAGACTCAAAAGGGGAAATAGACAGGGGCTCCCTGGTTTTGTGTGATTAATATCTAAATAACCCGCCCTGAGAGACCTCAAACGGGCGTCTCTTTGTTATTTTCGCCTATAGCAAACGCCTTGCCCAAATAAAAAAGTCTTCCCCAATACTATCCGAATGTGTTCTGTGCCACCCTCTCTGTCCTTCATACCACCAAGCAACTTCCTAAAACTCCCCGTCTTGGAGGCCTGAATCCATATTTATCAGAATCCATTTCCCCTTCAGTGCAAGACAATATTCCATCCCCGATGAGCTTGCAGATGGCTGGGTCAGCTTTCTGGCCCCTTGTCGCGGTCTTCGTTACAGTGCTTTACATACTGCGACGGGCACAACCCTCCACCTTGAAGCATATCCCGACGGTCAGGTATAACCCTTACCTGCCTGATTTCTTCAATAGAATCATGTACTACCCAAAGGCTGCGTCAATGATCAAAAAAGGCTATGAAAAGGTATATACTATATCAGTGTCCAACTCAGCCCTATTAACCTTCATCTAGTACAAGGATACACCATTTCGCATGCTAACAGCCGACGGAGAAGTCATCGTCCTGCCTACTAAGTATCAACAAGAGTTGAGGCATCTGCTTCCATCACAACTCAGTTCTTTACATGCACAATATGAAGTGATTCCCCAGGCTGTGCCACGTTACACTGTGGATTCGGACTAATTGATATAGAATGCGCTGGGCCAATACACCAACATCATCATCGATAGTTATTTACCATCGATGACCGTTCGGAAGAAGTTGACTCCAGCTCTAGGTAAATACAACCCTACGTACTAAACACTCCAGCCCAAATAATTGACGTCCCCAACCAGGTCGCATCGTCCCCCGAGTCATCGACGAACTACGTGGTGCATTCGACGCACTCCTCCCAGAATGCGAAGGTACAACATACATTACCACAACCCACCTAGAAGAAAGAAAAAGAACACATTAACTAAGACCCCTCAACCAGACACTTGGATCCAAATCAACCCAAACGAACTCTTCACCCGCCTAATCGCCCTAGCCACATCACGCGTAATGGCCGGCGACGTCCTTCGCCGCAATGAACAATGGCTAAACATCGCAAGCAGCTACACAAAAAACATAGGGATTACCGTGGTCCTCTTACGCCCCTTCCCAGCCTACCTTCGACCCCTAGTAGCGCTCTTCCTCCCATCAGTCCAACAAATGAAAAAGCAACTCCGCTTCGCGAAGGATCTCTTCGCACCTATGGTTCATGAGCGCAGACAGGCCGCCCTCGCAAATGACCCGGATTATACGAGCCCGGATGATTTCCTGCAGTGGATGATTGATCTTGGTGAGGAGCAGGGCGAGACGCTTGATCCGGAGCTCCTGGCGCATCATATGCTCCTCCTGGTTACGCTAGCTGTTGTTCATACTAGTACTATGGCTTTGTGTCATAATATCTATGATTTGATCATTATGCCGGAGTATTTAGAGCCGCTGAGGGAGGAGATGAAAAGGACACTGCCGGATGGTTGGTATAAGGGGACTCAGGCTGCGCTGGTCGAACAGCATCGGTTGGACAGTTTTATGCGTGAGTCGCAGCGGTTTGGTCCGCCTGGTGAATGTGAGTTATTCTATCTTTCACTACAGGAGGAGGTTGGGAATGTTGTTATCAGCGCTAATCATCTGCTCTTTATAGTATCTGTCCACCGCATCGTCAAAGAACCAGTTACCCTCCACGATGGTCTCACACTCCCCGTCGAAACACATATCTGCTTCGCTGCAGGCCCAATTAGCAGAGACATGGACTTCCTCCCAGATGCAGAAACCTTCGACGGATTCCGGTGGTGTCGAAAACCCGAAGACCGGTATGCATTGTCTCCCGAGTTGGCCGCATCTGCTGCCACTCCAAGTGGCGACAAGAAAGAGAAGGAAAATACAGAGAAGGCTGTCACTTCGCCTGCCAGCTTTGTGACTATCAGTGCGACAAACATGCATTTCGGATTCGGGCGTCAGGCTTGCCCCGGTCGATTCTTCGCGGCGAATACCCTGAAGGCGATTATGAGTCGGATTATTCTTGACTATGATTTCAAGCTTGCTGGCGATGAGAGACCTGCTAATATTCATGTTGGGGAGCACATTTTGCCAAATCTTAACTCGCATGTGTTGTTTCGGAAGAGAGCTATTGGGATTTGAGAGGCGTGGTTGGAGTTTGCTGTTTCTTTTAGGGTTGTTGGGATTGTTATGCCCTTGGTTCAGTTTTTGGAGAGTTCAGTCGAAGTCGATAAAATTGATGGGTTGGGGACATGCACGTTGCCAACATAATTGCTGCTATGCCACACGACATTGCCGCTATAGCTGGCGAATCATGGCAGTGGAAGACCTTCGTTGACCTACGTGTCGCAAGCAGGAATTGCGGTTTTAGTCACCAAAGCCTTCCGTAGACGAGGGGAATTTCCCCTTGACGGTACAAACAGTGCTCGCTTTCACAACCTACCACCGAGATGTCCACGAAAAACTGCCTTCCCCTTATTGACTTGGCTACAAAGCAAAGCCCTTCTACTATCTCTAGTACACAGACAGCTCTGCATCAATTTGGTGCTTTTCGACTTGTGGCTCCAAAACTGACTCAACAATGTTTACATAGTGTTTTCCAAGATGCAAGGGCCTTTCTTTCTGTACAGCCAGCATTGAGTTCTGATTCTGACACATGGCCGTAGGCTCGTGGATTCTTCCAATTGCCAACCCAAGTAAAAGAGAAAACAAGAGGTTACTCAGCCTTTGACTCTGAACTTGTTCGTGGAAAAACACCCATTCCTAAGGAGACCGTATACTTCAACAAAAAGGGCGCAGAGAACGAATATTCTCCGCCTTTAGGATTTCAATGTTCCGTCGAAGCCTTGCACGATGTAAGTCGTCCCTTAACTTTGTGATAGCCTCGAGCTAATTCTTCACACGAAAAGGAGTGGACCAATTTACGAAGTCAACTATTCAGTACATTGTCTAGCATCCTAGACTCAAAGGAGTCTTTGATAGGTACACCATCTCTCGACTATGAATCTTTGGGTGTCAACTTCTATGACTCTGATAGACTAGGCGATAGAGTTCATTTCAGTCCAGCTCACATGGACAGTGGCACATTGACGATTTTGGTCCGGGCTAGAGAAGCATGCGATGGGTTGGAGATCGCCGATCTTAGGACAACGGACAAGCTTGACAGCGAGGGTATAGGACTAGATGCCTCTTTCATTTCCGTCCCAGCACTGCCCGATGAGGTTATAGTGCTTGCAGGAACTCGTTTACAGCGTCTTCTAGGCAGAAGCAAAGTGCGTGCGTGCGTGCACAGAGTTCGTAGTCCTACGCAAACAAGCTGTAACAGGTGTATTGCAAACGACAGATTAAGTCTCGCAATTTTCTGCGGACCTCCTATGAAATAAAGGGACCGCCAGTTGTTCGGTGATCTATAAGAGTTCCGTCGAAATCGATAAAATTTAATAGTAACCCTAAACCTTAATATCTATCACTTAAGAGCGTTATTAGCTGAATATCGACTTATAGAATTCTCTTAGTGTGAACCTTAAAGCTTCATGGCGTCCATTAGGTGATTTTGAGTTTGTAGACCTACATTCGTATACTTTTGTCTGTCAAAGAGGATTCAGGAGGAAGACCGAAAAGGCAAAGATAGTTCTGAGGTAATATATACACCTAGAGCGGATATAGGGCTTTGGCCCTGTGACCTTCAACGAGCCAGAATGGACGTTGTCGGGAAGACCTGACTATGCAGTCTGGTACGGGAAGAAACATGAAATCGTCCTAATTTCATCTCAATAATATATAACAGGGCTTTGCCCCGCATCAGCCTTGCAGACGTGTAATTGCTAGTACTCGGTCATCTTAGGGCGTAAGCGCAGAAATCTTTATGCGCATATATTCATACAAGAATTTAAAGAGTATCATTTGGACATTGGCCTTAGAAAAGTCTGGTGGAAACATGAAATTCGTGCTATCCTCCTTAGACTAGGCAATACTAACACCAGCAGGCTCTCCTACTAAGCACCGATGATATCCGTTTAGACCATGAAACGAGAATTGGTCCAGCAGCGGCGGAATCAGTCGCTTTACAGAATAAGTATGGTCACCCTTCATCAAGTAAAGCAGGACTTCCCCCTCGTGACTATCTAGCGATGCACTCGGAGTCAGTATCTTTAGCGATACGTAGCGCCGGCGTTACTGATTTCGGGCTAGCCAAATTGTTGAATATCCACCAAACCCAAGCTTGTGAACGACAGTGTAGCGGCCACTACAAAAGGTACCTCCGATGGGAGTTGGGTGGTATCCGCGGGGCACATGGTCCTCGAGATATTCAACATCTACCTTAGGATAGTATATATCTTCTATTGGTAGATCTGACGAGTCAGATATGGCATAAAGGCATCGGAATGGGTGTGGTGACGGAAAGGCTTTGTGATGATGGCTCATGTTTGGTGTGAATGGCAAACGGCGCGAGAGGGTATTCTGATTTCGTCGACGAAGTATCGTGTGCTGGCAGAATGAGAGCGAGTCTCCGGCCAGGGTTCATGTTCATGTTACTATCCTTGGAGGTTGATCAAGTGACACGAGAACCCAAACAATATCCTTGACCTTGGAACGCGTCAGAGTAACTGTGGCCATGTATGTGAATATAAAACACCTTAAATTTTGCCTTTAACCTATCACAAAAAACAGACTAATCTTTCTCAGAGATGCCGATATGTTTCCGATGGGTGACTCAGCTTACCAATTTACATACATCAAACAATTGACCAGATCTCAGCCAGGAACATGGGTCACCACTCCTCGCTTTAGATCACGTTGTGAGGCTGAAGATTGAGATTGAGATTTCGAGGTTGCCAGGCTGATAGGTAGTGAGGTTGAAGAGTAAGTGTTATACCTTACATATAATAGTTCTAGAAATGGAAGAGTATTCGGGATGCCCAGGGGTGAGCAGGGAGCAATAAAACGGAAAAGGAAAGCCAAGATTCGCTAGATAGTATCCGGTACATATGCAAGCTTCCATATGATACATGAATCCAAATCCGTTCAAATTCCAATTCTTCCCCAAGCTTCAAAATAGCACTCCACTTCCTACTGGGCACCAGCCGCAAGGGCACCTCGCCCACCACGACCTCTACCACGGGATCCATTGCCACGGCCACGACCACGACCACGTCCACGATCCATTCCTTGCGGTGGGGGAACCTGGCTGTAGTTCTGGGGGCGGAAGTTGGGGTTGTTCTGGACAACGCCCTCGCTGGGGTCGCTGTTGTCCACTGAGGTATAGCCGCCTCGGTTGCCGTTGAAGCCTCCACGGCCACGGGGACCGCGAGGAGGACCACCGTTGGCGTGAGGACGGAAGGGAAGGTTGGCATGTTGGCCGTTGTTCAAACCTCCGCGACCTCCACGTCCGCCTCCGTTGCCCTGTCCGGATACAGCACCACGGAAAGAGCCTCTCAGGGGAGGTGGGGTGGCTGCGTTCTGCAGCTGTCCTTGGCCACCGGGGCCCAAGGGTGCACCGTAACCGGCAACAGTCAAAGGAGTAGGGGTCTGCTGGGTCTGCTGACTGGTTGCAGCACGGGAGCTGGTGATCAACTGGCGGTAGGAGATGTTGAGAGCAGACGAGGCCAAGACAGTCTGACCGCGGAATGGCGAGCATCGGCCGCCCAATGTAGTACCGCTCATGAATGAGACGTCAAAGACAACATCCAACAGAAGGGTACGTGGGGTTCTAGTGAGACCGACAACAGTGCCGCGAGTAGCGATCGGCACCTTGCCAGAATCTTGAGCGTAGACGATGCGGTCACCAAGCTTGAAAGTCTGGTTTCCGAGACGATGCTCAACATCGGCAGGGCGAAGGAGGGCACTGCGGGGGACACCGCGGACCTTCTTCGGCTGCATCTGTGGCTGACCCAGATTGAGGTTATCGGCATCCTGCTCGATCAGTTGCACGATGTCCGAGTCAAGTTGTTCAGCGTCAAGAGGGACCCTCTCGAAATTCTTGGCTTCGACAGACTTCAGCCAATCTTTGATTTCCTTGATCTTCAGAAGAGCAGTCTCCTCAGGGTAGAAATCAGTCGGCGAGTAACGGTCACCCTGGGGGTTGCGCTGGATACCAGCAATGAATTCGGGGAAGTTGATCATGTACTGCTGGATCAGGTCGATTGCCTTCTGGCTGAACTCCCAGCCCGTCTCTCCACGACGGGAGTATCCGAGAACCTTCTGTTGCTTGGCCTGGAACTTCAAGTTGAGACCAAGGTTTGCACGAGTACCCTCAACATCAACGGTGAAAGAAGATGTAATCTTGGCCAGAACCAACGGGTTGAGACGAAGGCTACGGGCAATAGCGTATGAAGGCATGTAAGGGCAAAGTTGCTCAGCCTGTCTGACACGTTCACGTCCGAACTCGGGTTCACGACCTTTCACGGCCGCGATCAAACCATTTACCTTTCCATCCTCGTGCCCACCAATATGAACTGGTCTTCCGTAGTTGAAGTCACCCAAGAAGAAGGCACGGCTGCCCTCTGGGAATTCTTCTTCGATAGGGATGGCCTCGCGCTCAATGAAACGCTCATCGGGGTTGATCACATCATCAACAACAACCTGCAAAGCATAGTCTGTCTCCTGGCCGGGAATATCGGCAAACTCCTTGATGGTGGCACCTGCGTCCGTCTTGGACATACCCTTGAGGAGTTGAATGTGGACCAGGGACTCGACATCTCCGATGATCATTGCCAGACGCTTACTGTAGGTGTTCTCAATCTTACTGGCCTTCTTCTTCCACTGCTCAATCTGTTGAGGGGTGTGAGGGATAGACACAGGGTGTTGTTCGCCTGGAGGGAGGATATAATCAAACAGCTCGTCCGAGACACGAACCACGAGAGCCTCCTGCAAGAATGGGTATCCCACATGGACACGTTTCCCGATTTTCGTTTTGGCTAGTTCAACGCTAGACCGACTACCGGGGTCAAGAAGGGTGATAACCTGGCTCTCATTTCGGCTATCTTGTTGGAAAACGCAGACTCCGTGGAAGCCCAGTTGTCCATGATGAGGCAGAGTTTTGATGGTAGGGAAGCCAGCCAGCGCGGCTTGGCCTAGATGCACACCGTCCATCAAACCAGCATATGGCTCTAATCCATCCATAGCGGGAAGGTCGAAGATGTTCTCAATGCAGCGGCAGTTTGGAAGGTCAGGGAACACGCCAGGCATTGAAGAGGGGTAGATAAAGTTCACATCAGGGGAATAGGTGAACTTGAGACTGGTGCCAAAGTCGTTTCTTCCCTTCTCGTCCGCAGAAAGCAAATGCTCCTTGGTCTTAAGCGCTGACAAAAGTCGCTTTTCGTCGATAAATGGAATTTTGACCACAGCCTCCCACTCCATCTTTTTGCCGTTCATGTCGAGATCGAAATCACGGGGGTAGAAATCGTAGATAGGAGATTCAGGCGAGGTCATCAGATCCCAATAGGCAGTAGGAACGATCTTCTTACTGCGGTCTGGCAAGACACCCATGAGCTGGTCAAACGGCCGGAAAGGCTGTCCCAGCTGGAAGTTCATGTCTGCATCCAGACCAAACTTCACATCTATTCAACTGTTAGCAATAAGATAAAATCAGGAATGCAGTGCCACTCACCAGAGATCATAGGAGCATAGTGATACTGGAAGAACCAAGGCCATGATGCGATACCACGGTAATAGTAGAACAAGACCCACTGCAGTCCTTGCACATAGTTCCGCGCAAGCTTCTTCATCTCCTCCTGGTTGTCAAGGCCCCAACCGAACTTGGAGCGGTAATAGTTATCTTTCCACTCGTGGAACTTGGCGTCATATTTCTTCTCCGCCGCCTCCTGGGCCTCCTCGGGGGTCATCTCTTGTACCTTGGCCTTTTCGTATTTCCGAATGATGCGGTGGACAGCCATTGATGCTTCTTCATCCTCGTCATCCTCGTCGTCTCCATCGCTTTGGGGCTGAGGGAGCTGAAGTCTCATGAATCGGTCGCCGTTCTCGTTATCGATAGAAGACCAAGACAAGCGAAGCTCATCCGCAAGGCGTTCAACGAAGCTACGGTCACGAGCGGGGAGTGTAGGAGGAAGGTCAAGAGGTTCGGAGGCCTTATCAGACCGGTTCAGAACGTACTTCTTGACCGTCTTGAGAATGTCCTTCTGGGCCGGAGTGAGGGTAAGCTCCTTTGGTTTTTGTTGTAGTTCGAGAGATCCGTCGTTTTTCTTGGATTTGATCCATTGGGCATCGGAGTTTTCAGCCTCAAAGAATCGATGCTCGACGCCACTCAATGCCTCCACAAGCATGCCCAAGCGTTGGACGTTGATAACACCCTGCTCGTTGATGTAACCGCCCATTTTTGGCAGTACTTCCTTGTAGAGTTTGAACATGAGGGCAAGAGCACCTT